CCCTCCCCCCAGGAATATGATCAAGGAACAAAGATATATTTTATCACTACATATTAAACGCTCTCAATCGACTGAAAACTCAAAAGACGCAGAATGATCAACTCTGTAAATTGTAATATATAGTTATAAAAATAAATAAAAAATCCCCAAAATCTTTCGTAAAAGGATAACATTTATTTGTCTGTCCGATTTTTCAAAAGGTATAGCAACTGACTCTACCCTTTCTCCGCCTTATATCAGCCCAGAGCTTGCGTTCCCTGAATATGAGCATTCGGGTAGAGACCTTAAAGTTAAAGAATTTTTTTGTACAAGCTAGAGGATGAGAGATGCGATGACGACGGTGAATGATTGACCGTAAACTCCAAGACAAGAGAGAAATCAAGTCTCTTAGGTAGGTATGAACTCCAAATGTGGGTAATGTACCGTTTATGTACGGAAAGCGTGCTGTCGATTCGAGTGGTTCTTAAAAAAACCAAAAACCAAAATATGGAAGGAAAAGTCTTTGATGCTTTCGCGCTTCAGTTTTGCAAAACTTCAAACATTTCAAATGGACTGAGGTTTGAATACTCTTGAGTCGGCCGGCTACCATATATAATATATATTAATTCTTCATGTACAAAAAAGCAAAACAGACCTGAAGAAAGTAATGCTAGGAAAATGATGATACTGAAAAGTATCTATAAATCAATTAATAATCGGCGAGGAAGGCAATAGCACAAGTTCTCCTTGAACGAAAATAGCACTATAAATTTCCTGCAAAGTTTAGGTTATGCAATAGGTCCGATATTACTGTCACAGAATCACTTTACGAATTGAAGGAGTTTCACTCGTCAACACTGTATTTAGTGAACAGATGGGCATGTTTGGCATGTTTTATCAGGAAGCGTTTGTCTTGTGTTCGAAATTACACGGTACTTGCTCCTCGAAAGGCTCTCTCTCTTAAATACTGAAAAATTTGCGCACAATCACAACTTGAAAAACTAATTTTCATTCGAAATTTGAAAGTTGGTGGGTGTTGCGTTTTCGGCGCTGCTCACCGTCAGAGCAATTCCTACTTAGAATTCCTGGCCATTGGAGAATACGTGTGAGAGTGTGTGAGTAATATCTCCCAAAAACAAAGGGAAGCCGCCGGGCTACGTTTGGCGGGTTGCATACGTTTCCCGGTTATCTCCCATACATTTAGTACAGTGACATGCATTTAATACTTTTTTCCTTAATTTAAAATGTGATTCTGCCGAACAAATTTGTTTCTTTCGATAAAACTTGCCAAAATATTCAACTGAAAATTCCACGCCTAGAATAAATTCACTTTCTCATGTAAAAAAATCAACTTTTATAAGTCCTCCCCTATACGATCCCGTGTGTTTTCGGGAGTTACGAACATTTAACCTCAAACCCATGGCCAGGTATTGGGAGATGGTATTGGTCAGAGATACGGTTGGCCATTGTTATTATTATTGTCCGTGTTTCTGGTATTGTATTCTGCTTATCAATTTTGTGATTTCAATTTTATTCATATTTTTAATAACCGTTTACTCATTTCCTCCTCCTTAGTATTTACTACATGTGCAATTTTCCATTTCTTTTCGGGCTGTACAAAAAACACACCATTGTGATGAAACCTACCGCATATCATCGGAGGAACCAACCTGCCTGACCTGAACCCTGAAATTAATTTAGTTTTCTGTTGTCGTTCAACTGCAGATCCAGGATATCATAACGTAACCCGGGGATTGCTTCTCAAAAACTTGGAACTGAAGGAAACCAAACTCTCTCTCAATTCCTATTTGTCTGAATGGTCCGCTCTAACTGAAACAATTTGAGATACTAACTGAACGTCCAGCAGGCTAGTCATGGAGGAAGATCACGTATCTGGAACTCCTCAATCGACTGATGATGAAATTCGAAGCCGACTAGCCCAACTCAGAGGCCAAACTTCAGTGAAGGAGCCCTCAAGAGTGAGTAAATTTTTTAGTCCTCATAGTTAAATATCTCTCTAATTATAGCACACACCACAGCTATTGATTTTTAGCTCGCCACTCATGGAGGTCGTACGAAGAAAAGAAATAAATTCTTTTCACCTGAAACCAAATGATCTTTAAAGGTGTTACTGTCTAACAGTCAGTAAGCTATTGAATGTGAACAATGTGTTCGGGATCAACGATTGTCTTGATCCTGCAGTTTCTCATAGTTCGTGCTTTTTGTAGCTTTCTAAAGTGATGAGTATCCCTATATTTTTTTAATGTTGTCCAAGTGCTCAATGTGTTCTAAGCATACTCATGCATGCATAATTCTTTTGACCAATTGTCAGGAGTATATAATAGCAACTTAGTCGTATTTTGTTTGACACAACAACTCGGAACATCTCGTAACAATCGTATTTTGTTCGTATGTTCTTGCGTGGCCTATCTTTATTCGTTTATTTTTTTTTCACAATTTAGCAACATTTTTGCAACATTGTTTCGTAACAATTAGAACGTCCTCGGAGCTTATTACGACTGATGTGCACGCTTGTTAACAGGGTTTCTAACCTCACTTCTAGCTGCTTTGCTCTCATTGGTTGTGAAAAAGTGACGCAAATAACACAAAATTGGTAGCAGGAAACAATTGTTGCGGCAAACAAAATACGTCTTAACAGGAATCAATTGTTGTGTCGAAAAAAATACGTCTCTATTCTAGGAAAATATTTGATGGCCAACATGCTAATTACAATGTGAGATATCTATTGATAAAAGAAGTCACAAAGTAGACGAAATTCCCTTTACCTAAATATTCTATTGTGTTTCTTCTTGACACAACTTCCACTTTGTAACTATCCATGTAGCTTCCCTAAGTCGTATGATATACAGCCATAGAGTGATGGTGAAAGTGCAGGAACTGTATCTTGTTTGCTGTTTTTCGAAATCTCCACTCCTGTTTCATTTCATCTGAGGAAAGGAATCTACACATTGGTGTCTTTGTAGTTCCACCATCAAAGTGTTCTCTAAAGTGCTCGTCAGCTGTCAATTTGTAAGTGCGTTGATGGTCTCATGGGCAGTTTGCATCAATTGATTTTGTTCAGCCCTTGGCCTCATTGATGCGTGGAAAAAAAAGGAGATATTGTGACTGACAATGTTCAGTTTATCATAGGCTAGTCCCACTCCACTTTTGAATCGCATCGTGCCAATTCAGCCCAGTGTAAAGTGCAATGACTCGCGGTCTCTGACCTGTCTGTTAGGGGAAAAAAAGCACCAGCTCAACAAAGAAGGATGTTTCGAACTATCTGGTTCATGCCCTGTACAATAGTTTTCTTACTTTCATCGACTATTTTTTCAAATCCCAAATTAAAACAAGTGTCTATCACTGTTTTTTTCAGTGTCAAATATAAGTAAGCTCTCACCATCTCACATAACTTGAACCCAGCTCTGCAATTTTCATTCAAGTCATATTTTTGAGCAGTATTTACTGAATCCATTCTGCCTTTGTTCTATAATGTTCAGATCTAGGAAAATGTCTAAAAACTTCCAACACATCAGGAGTTTGCAAATTGAAATTTTGGTTCCAAGGGGAAGAATTCTCCCAAAATAAAAGCATCAAAATTAACAAATTTGAGAGCTTATTTTGGGTGCTTTCATCTCCTATAACAATGATGATTAACTTACTGATGGCAAATGTCACCTTTAAAAGTTGGAAATCTTTGATTTCAGATTTTTAAATGGAATTTCTAAATTGAGATACTTTGCNGGGGGGGGGGGGGGGGGGGGGGGTTAAATTTGTTTTGAAAAATCCGAAGGTGACCTTATTTTGGTGACATTTTCTTGACTATAGCATTTGAAAATGTGTAGGGATCAATTGTGCTACCACCTACTGTACGTACAATAAAATTGCTCATGTTGAAATTGAAACTTATCCAAAATCCTGTATGAACAGCTGCTAACGCCAGACATTGTCCTCTCCCTAATTTACTCTTCTTCTTACCTTTTAAGGTGAACTGCGGATGTTTGGAAAGAAAACCCAAGATTAGGATTGTAGTCCATTTTTTCAGAAATAGTGGTGGCTAAGATGGGTTTTTTTTTTTTTTTTTTTTTTTTTTTTTTTCTTTAATCAATAAAAAATTAGAAGAAGAGGCAATAGAACAACATTCAAATCCTTTGTAGCTTCAAGATCCTTGAATTTTAGTATGTTATTCTACTATGCAAGAGAAGCCTCTCCTAAAAATGTCAAATCTTACAATGAATTTTCTAAATGAAAATTGCTGTTACTTAAGTCCCTACGTGACAAATATTTTTTTAGAGAAGAGCAAGTCAATTCATTTCTTGAACTTAATTATTTCCTCTCATAATATTCTCATCCTCCACTCAATTAAGAGCATTCATCAATCATTAATATTTATAGCCATGCACATGCATTGCGTATCATGTGTGGCATACTTGAGCATTTCAACATTCTTGTTGCCAAACTTTGCAAAAATTATGGTTTTCTCCCTCCTTTTGTCTGGAAGGGGGTGATAAAAAATTCTTGCATTTCATGCAGTAAACTTTCCTTTGCCCAATATTTTGTTAAAACCATGAGGAAGAAATTAATACTTATGTCTTGCATGATGTTTAAAATTTTGAAATAAAGAGCTGTATGGCAACCGGGGCAAGTGAATGTCCGTTTGGCTTTCGAAAAGGTGTGCAGACTCAGTGCTGACCTTCAAGATACTTGCAATGAATGACAAGTTGTAAACAATTGAAAATTTTTTCTTCTTTTTCATAGCAAATTGGGCAGAAGACTCAACTCTCTCTCTTGCCCTTTGCCTGTACTATCTCAAGTTTCTTTCTCCCAGCCCCTCCCCTCTCACCTGTAGGGATTTTATTTAAGTGCTATAATGAATAAGTAATTAAGTTCTCAAGCTCAATCAAGAGTAATACTTGCTCTGCTCACTTTTTAATCGGATACTGTGCAAAATATCATTTCTCCTTTCTTAAATTACTCTTTGATTCCATTCTTACTCCGATGGATGTAAATTGAATTATCAGCTGAACAAGTTGTGATGAGTAAACCAGCCCATATTGATGGAGCCTTGAATTTTATCAGTATTTGGTGCCTTATTTAATAATCCTGTTTTCTTTTTATCAGTAGAGTGCGTGGAACAGCCTTTCCACTCTTTTTAATTTATGTTTTGCATTCCTCTTAAATAGAGGTTTAATTTTGTTATTTTCGTTCAAAACAAAATAATTTATACTGTATCCCAACTTGAATTGATAATTTTCTCAAGTATCAATTCCTCTCTCTCTCTCTTAATGTCCAGGAAATATTTTCAACTCTTTTTTTTTAGTGAAATTTGTGTTTGGTGAATTTCAGTGAAAGGAATCCACAATGTGACCGCAAACTGCCAGTTTTGATCGTGACATTTTGGACATTGGCTACAAATCTCTCTGGCCTCAACTGTGATGTGAAAAAGAAAATCAGAATTTTTAAAGCAAGGGTTCAATTTGAACGACAATTTACCAAATTTCATCCTCAACACCTTTGGAGCAACCATTTGTCAAAATGTTTTGCTGTAAGGTGAGTTCAGAAGACCAAGACATGTCTTTCGATGACAATGAAAACATGTCACGATCTCAGATCCGCATTGCCAGAAGCAAAAAGATCGGCTACTTGTCCATCGCAAAAGATGGTGAGATCCTTTATAAAAAAATCCGCATGAGTCAGATCCTCAGCTCGGTGCAACTTGGAATTGGTAACTCTGTGGGAAAACAAGCCTGCAAGCCAGAACGCGACCTCCTCATGTTTGACTTCATGACATCAGAAATAACTTTTTTTCCTAACGCTGGTTCACCTCATGCTCCGGCTCATTCTCATCCTGAATTCACCTTCAAAACATATGCACCTGTTGCATTTCGATACTTCCGGGATCTCTGTGATGTCCAACAGGAAGATTTTTTAGTAGCTTGCTGTAGTAGACCACTAGTTCCAGCCTCCTTTAACCCTACCAAAAATGGTTCCCTTTTCTATTTCACCTTCAATGATGAATTTATTTTTAAAACTATTCTTCGAAAGGATTGCGAATTTTTGCAAAAACTTCTCCCAGGTTACTATTTAAATGTTAGTCAGAACCCTTGCACGTTATTACCGAAATATTTCGGTCTTTATAAGTATGAGTGTCGTTCGAAAAGTCTCATGTTTTTGATCATGAATAACATATTGCCTTCTAATCTTTTCTTTTATCGAAAGTACGATTTGAAGGGTTCCACTCACAAGCGGAAGACGTCCAATAAAAATGATGAAGCTTTCAAAGATTTAGATTTCCTCAAGCACTATCCGAACGGATTATTCTTAGAAGCTGAATCTTATAATGTATTGCTTAAGACGATAAATCGAGACTGCCGAGTGTTGGAAAGTTTCCGAATTGTTAATTATAGTTTATTGTTGGGACTTCACAAGATTGAAAGTAATGAAGGAAAAAAAACTCGCCGGAAGGAGCACCTATTGTCTGACCGAGTCTCCTATCCCACCCTAACCAAAAAATTAAGCAGTAGATTAGAAATAATGAAAAAGGAAGAAAAAATGCTCTCTGAAGGTATCCCAGCACATGATTGTGACGGTAACTCTTACTTACTCTACCTTGGCATCATTGATATTTTGCATAGTTATACTTTTAAGAACAAAATTCAGCGGATTTGGAAGTCAATTTTTTTGGATGGCGATGCAATTTCTGTCCAACCCCCTGATACATATGCTCGGCGTTTCATTTCGTTTATCTTCAGCAACGTTTTTAAAAAAGCCAAGACTGTGTCAGAAAAAAATAAGATTTGCAAAAATGTGAAATCTTCTAATCCAGATGAAATAACACCCGATGCCTCTCCTATTTCAAACGACTCTTCATCAATCACTCACTTAGATAAATCCATCAGCAACATGTCTCTAAGTCTAGAGGAGGAAGCATGTATATCAAAACGAGTTATTAAAAGAATGAATGAGGAAACGGTCAAGTGTCCATTTGTGAGTCAGTTTTACTCAAAAAAGGCAAAATATCATTTACCCTCAACCACTTGATAGTATCCATCCCCCTTTCACCGAGGATATTTTTAAATTCATTCAGAAGTATTAACTCAGGGATCAAGTGGTTCATGCAGATCACTCGAATTTATTTCATTAACTACACACCTGAAAGTTCTGGAGGCTGAAAGTATATCCTGTTACTTAAATATTTCAAATTGCTCAGAATTCATTGTTTTCCTAATGGAAGAACATAATTACATTTCAACGCTGCAAAACGTCTTCTTGCAAATTGTACTTTTCCTGGAAAACTTTTGGACATATTTAACTGAAAATTTCACCAACTTACTTTCGGATTACATGTAAAAGTCAGCAAAATTTTCGACAGGAACTGCGCAATCATATTCTTCTAAAAAATTAAATCATTTTAGTAAATCTTACAATTTCTGAATTGAGTCACTTCCTTTGTCTGGGGAATGACAAATCATTGTTATGCAAAATTTGTCAGTAAACAGCCTATTCAGCTGTAAACTTAAGTGAAAAAGAAAGAGGAAATGCCAAGCTTTCAGTCTCGAACCAAGTCAAGAAAGGTGAGGATTCAATAGTGTGGAGAAGGTTAGTTAGTCATCTTTCATATTTCCTTATTCTATCTTCCACTGCTTTGACAGCTCTGAATTTTCCGGTGAATTGGAGCAGCTATTATTTTTAGCAGCTATATATATTTATTAATGGTTCTAGCATTTCAATGTTGCCACTACGTTATTAATTGTATTTAAGTTTTCAATTGGCAGGAACCATGTTCTCATTAGCCATCATGCATGCTTCCAAATGTTGTCTCTTTGATTACTAGTCCACATAATGCCATTTTGAAACAAGATTTTTTAATTTTTAACTAGCACCTATTTTTGAAGTTTTTTTTTCACAAAAAAGTGATATCTTTATTTTATTCTACAGATGCATAGCTGCAGAATGTTTACTGCGGATATTTTTATTGTGTACTTAAATAGGTACCTGGTACTGTTTAAAAATACTTATTTTATTTTTTAAACCTTTGAATCATTTTAAGATTTGTTTTGTAAATATTTAACAGACCTGAAAGATTTCTTGAAGTAAATTGTGAAGAAAACTGGCAGCTAGCTGTAAATTAGATTCGTCCTTTGTCTAACAAGACTACACCATGAAAACGTAAAATAGGTTGACTCTCTTTGAAGCCATATTACTTCCTAGTTTGCAAAAATTTTGTTTTTTTCCTTGACTGTCATTATCTGCCTGTGATCAATGGAGGACGCTGTTACAGAAGTGCTTCTGTTTGTCTATGAGGCTTCAGGACAAGCAGAAACGTAAAATGAGGTAATGGATTATCTACCGGTTCAATACTGCATTTGTCACCGCGCAGTATAAAGGAAAAGAGTGCCATCTATCTTAGGAGTTATAAGGAAGCTCTGAAGTTGGGAATGGGTTGATTAAAGTGAGGGAGGAACAAGGTGGAGAAATGGTGCTGAGTCCACATCATCTCTCGGGGAAATCAAAGCCAAGAAGATTCGCCCATTATCCATGAGGGAGGAATTGTAGCAAGAATTTCTTTGAAGCTGGATTTCTTTCAGTGCACAAGATTTATGCACACTTCGTTAACTCCCTGTCTTTATATTTAAATAATTTCTCAAAAATATCATTGAATATTTACTTATAATACCATTGAATAGCTCCTATTATTTTAGTACCTGATACTGTAAATCAAATTTTTGTTACTATCAAGTGCCTTGTATTAGATAAATTTTTAGACGCTTTTCCCCCCTTTTTCTTAATTTATTTGATGTATGAATTTTAAATTTTGTTATCCTTGCGCAGGGTCAATGAAGTAGTATGTCTCACTTGTAGAAGGAGAAAGTCCACTCTGAGTCTGCACTACAAAGGGAGAAGGAGAACATAGAAACTTAAAACATTAGATGAACAAGAAAAATTGTACTTTTTACAGGGGAAAATTCAATTGATAACAATTCTAGCAATATTGGATGGATTCCATACAAATAAGTTTATGCACTTTTAGAGTATAAAAGAAGATCTTCCATCTTGATTCTTCCATTTACTTTCAATGCTTAACTGGAGACAGATGATTTTCTGTCGCTCTCTAAAAGTGCATAATTTTATTTATCTTGAACTCTGTCATGTCAAACTTGGAAGGTAGAGAGGAGGCATTGGATATGAATTTATGATGTTTTTTGAAATTTATGAAAGGAGAGGAAGTTTGAAGTTGTGTTGAAGGAGCACTGTATGGGGGNGGGGGGGGGGGGGTACGAAAGTGGAAAAGAGGTGTAATTTTGTATTACTTCAATGGCCTCGTAAGAGATTTTTTAATGTGATAAATATTTCTCATTATTAAAGCATAATAAGTATGTATTGTGACTTGAACAAATTTTTAATGCAAATGACTCACTCACGAATGTTCAATTGTTCCAAGTGTATTTTTCTCATGAGGCAGTGGAGCATGTTTTTTTTTCTTCTTGTTTTTAATTCTCTTCAGCTTTTTCCCTTCCGAGGAAATTGCCTCTTATTTTAATGAAATACTTTCTTATATGTAGGTCAGTGCCATTATGTAACAAAATTGAGTTAACCTTGTATTGTAAAATGTTGTCAGCTTGCAGGAGCAGTTTTTGTTTTGCCTCCGAATAATGTGAGGAAATAACAGGTTTTACAAATTAACTTCTACTGTCTTCTGCCTTCACGAGGAAGGCACTAGCAGAACTCTACAGCTTTTGAAAAAATAATACTTTTATCTCCTAATTTTTGTTTAATATCTCTCAAAAGAAACAGTAAAAAGTTTGCAACCAAGTGAAAAGTTCTTTGCAAGTGATTTTATAAATATTTTATGGCACTTTTCCAATGTTATTCGGTAAATTGAATTGCTAAGGTGCCTTGCGTATTTAAGCAATATTATCTTTTCCCAACATTAGATTAAATCATTGAGCGAATCACAATTGCTTTCTGCTTGGTCTATCTCATATTAGTGTACTCTTCTGACTTCTTGCATATCAAAATGAAATATTTCAAAAATTAACTTGTTTATTTTTAGAAATATAAAGCCTTAGCAGTTGACTCATTTTCAAACAGAGGGTTTTTTCCATTTCTGAACAAAATTTACCCTTGCACGGGTCAAATTTAAAGTAATTTTTATGGTAGAAGTACGCTTCCTATGTGACAGTGAAGTGTCTTCAAAGGCGGTATTGGTTTAGCACTTGGTATCGATTATCCTACCCAGAGTAGAAGTTAAGGTTGTCTGAGCCTTATTTAATGTTTTATGAAGCAAAACAAGTGATCCTGTTTGACGTTCAATTCCAGTCATTCCTCGTCAGTGGTAGGAAAAAGACTCAAGCGGAAGAGGCAGAAGATCTACTAAAACAATTCTCAGCTGAAGCACAGTTGGTGAAACAGTTCAATGAGACCAGTATTGATGTTGATAAACAAATCGAGGAGCGCCTTAGGAGACTCAAAGCTGACACTGCCAGTTTGACACCTCAGACCAATCCCATTTCAGCAAAGGTTAGTTCTACTTCTCATCTACTAACTACCATTAGAATTAGGATAAGATAAGATTGTTCAAAAATTCACATCGGAAAACAGCACCACTTTAGAGGAATCCATATGCTAACTAATGCGCCAACTGTTGAATGAAGGACATCCGGCTGACATGACATCTGTTCGATCTTTTCCTTCCTGAGTTCAAATATTTTGGGGATTCCCACGCATATGGATTCCTCTAAAGTGGTGCTGTTTTCTGATGTGAATTTTTGTACAAACTTCTGTATAAAAGTTAAAGCGAGTGTAAAAGTCAAAGAATTTCATGTTTTAAGGGGGAAAAAATAAACTGTGTACCTAACGAAGGTTTATTATTAAATATTAAATTAAAAATTACAAAAAGCTTTAAAAATTAAAAAGCTACAATGGCGAAAGGAACAAGTCATGTACAAATTCATTTTAATTAGTCTGAAAATTGCAAGTATGAGGGAGCAACTAGATAGTATCAAACTAATTTTAAAAAGTTGAGACTTCATTGGATTTTGAATTTTCAAATGAATTTTATTCTGTGAAGCTTCTCCCCTTTCTATTTTCGTCTCTAATTTAATCTTACATAGAGATCAACTATATCTCAGACTTGCTGGCTGTAGCCTGCAGCCATTGCTTTTGTAGACATTTATAGACAGTACATAAAACCGGTTTTAGGATCTTTCATGTTCAATAATTGTACTGAGCAGGGTGGTTCTGAAAAACTGCATGGTGTAAAACTGGGATGGAAAAACATCAACCATTTTTCTCAATAAGAAAATTCTGAAATTAATTTATCTTGAAAATCACTTGAAAAGTTTGACGCTTCAAAATTATAGTCTTATGCCTTTCCACAGCAGCACACTTTTTTCCAATCATTGAGGAGATTCTATCAATCACTATGGAAACTATTGAAGAAGAAAGAAAAAAGAAGAGAAGATGAAAGAAACTTGACACTGAAGCATTAGATGATGTTATCCACAGCATTTTTAAATAGTCCGTATCCTTGTTGATACATACTTTAGAGCTGTAATATTTAGACTGGTGTTTTATTAATTTTCCGTTCGACTTGAAGTAGAACCAAGGATATGAATGATGAAAGACACACATAATCATTAACATGATGTGCTTTTTTCTCTGTATCCAGGTCCTTTCACAAACTTTTGCTGAACAGTGCAGTGATGACTCTGATGATGATGATATTAAAGCTGATGCTATAATCAGGAAAATTTTAGCAGAAGAGGAACTGGCTCGGCGTGAAATCCATGAAGAATTAGGGATCGATGATAAACTAGATCAGCTTGATGACCCAGATGATCTTGATGATTTTGAGGAGTTCAGGTGAACCCAAGGTATACTTATCTCCATGTCTAACTCTCATGAATGTAATTATTAAGAAGTTTAAAAAAATAATTTATTTCAAAATCATCCGGGTACAGTCTCAAAAGTAATTTAAAATCGATATAAAGATTTGTTTCTTGGGTTTTATTCAAGATATAAGGTTCCTACTGCCCACGGGGGATGAGAAGGGAGAGGCTCTCTTTAAATTAATTTAGGAACACTTCTCATGCTTCATGATTATTCTCAACCCTAAACAGATAAATTACCGGATTTTTTTTAGCCAATGTCAACAGGAGTTTGCTAATGGCATCATTTGTTGCCTATTCTAGCCACTTTGCATTTCCCAACAAATAAATGAGTTTAAATTGACCTTGGCCAGTAGACCTCTATCACTGTGTCTTCAGTCTAATAACTCACAATAAGTCATCTTTAGTGGCAAAAAGCAAGTACATTTAGAAATTTTTACTAATGTCTTAAATCCCCTCCTCTCCTACTCATCATTCAAATGTTATTTCAAGACTTAGGCCAAGAGGCATTAGCCAATATAGATACTAGCCTCTAAATCTAGGAGGCTGGTAATTGAAATTGATGGACACAGCCATAGACAAAAAAGACAAAGGGAAAATGGAGCTATCCTATCAATTGAAACGGTTGATTTTGTAGATCAAGGGATAAAATGATAGACCAACCATAAGATTTCGAGTGGATTGCCATTAGTTACTCTAGTAAACATTTTTTTTGTCCATTGCGACCACTTGTTCCACCAATAGGTTCCCTCCGTTTTTTCTTTGTCCTCTTCGACTATTGCTTTGACTATCAATGTCAAAAATGATCTTGCAGGTTTGGCAAGGTATTAAATATCCCGAGACAGGTACAGGAAGGCATGATAAATGGAGCAAGCCTGATACATATGAAACGCTCATTTTTTTACATTAACTTACACCTAGTGAAATAAATAAAGTAATAAATTAAAGTTGAGGAGTCAAAATTACATCATCAGTTAGACTGACAATTAACCTATGGCAAAATTACAGGGCGATGATGAGGTTGATCCTCCACCGATCTCTTTCAATTTGAATCTTTTTCACACAGCTTCATTATGAAATAAAGATCATAGATTCCTTAAAAATAATATTGAGAAATGTACGTATTCCAAGGAAAAAATACAATTCAGCCTGAAATTTAAACCTCTTTTTTCCTTCTTGCAGGTACCTTGTTCACTTTTTCTTCTTGGTAGCTGCATTTCCGACCTGCTCTCCTTTGGCAGAAGCCAGCTGTTGTTTCAAATCCAAAAGCTTCTTCACTTCTGGTTCCCAGACGGCCTTATCCTTTGTTTCACTCTTCAGTTTACGAACAACAAGCCCCTTCAAAAAATTACAGAATTTTGTTAATTAAGAGAAGGTAAATTGAGGTTTAATTTGGATTTTACTTGCCTCCAGAGAATTTTACACATTGCTGATTGCATGAACTCTTTTAAATTATGAGCCTTGTAATTTGTAATTAAGCTTTATCTAATTTGAAAAAGCTATGGGTATCTAAAATCCTTAAAATCTGAATGTTTACAGTTTGTAAGAAGATGATTCTAAGTCCCTTTGGCGAAATTGAGGATCTATGTTGATTAGAGGTGTTGTCAGCTAAGTTGACGGTTGTTTACTTTCGGTTTGCAAGTGTCAACGACAAATTTGGGCCTATGAACAAAGCGGCGTTCGCTCTTATCCACATTGAAAACATCAGTCTCATGATTGTATTGTATAAAAACTACTTATCAGTTATGATTTGCGACTTTTTTGTGGTTGTGATTTCCGTGTGGCTAAAAATTAAAGTTTTACAAGGTTTGAAAGTATTAAAAAACTTATCTAAGCTTGTGTTCTTGCTTCTGGGAGAGCCAGATGTTTTCATGTGGACAGTAGTGACGCGAAAACGCCTGCAAACCGAAAGTAAACAACCGTCAACTTGGTTGACGACACCTCTAAGATGGCTAATTCTGGTTGACCTCAAAGCAATTCAAGCAAATAATCACAATTGTGAAAAAACTAGAAATATTTCTATCTTGATTGTACAATGTTTCAAAAGTTATTTTATAATTTAATCCTCCAGTCAGATAGTAACCAAAATATTTTTGTGAACTTCTCTTGTGAACAGTAGGAAGTCAAGTCTAGCCAGCCACCAGAAGAAGCAACAAGTTACCAATTCAAAACTTTCATTTTCCCCCGCCATGCATTTTTCTAGAATCGAATCTTACTAAGCGACCATCCAATCCAGTGACAATATCGCAGGGACAAGAACGGAACGTCATTGAGGGTGTGTGATTTGTTTACAATGGATTTTTTTAAAAGATCTTGAGTGCAACAGAACCCTCTCAGGGAGATATGCGTTTCTTCAAATTTGCATGTATATGGATCCCATTTTTTTTTATAACGCTCAAACACATTGGAAGGAATTCATGCATGAGCAAAGCCAATCTTGTCTTTCTTAAAAATTATTTTCCCATTGTAACGTAATCAATATTTTTAGCAGTAGGTATCATACAGTATTAGACCTGAAAAGGAAATTCAAATGGCGTTTTCTCCCCCCCCCCCCCCCCCCNTTAACAAATTACCATTGCACCACTGTACATCACTTCATAACTATACTTAAGACCCTTGCAGAAAGCAGGGAATTTTGCTTGAACTAAGAGCCTGAACTTTTGAGGTAAATGAAACCATTGCTAGCCCTAAGTTGTCTTGCGTTGAGAGCAAGGTTTCACCGCTTTTGCTTTTTATGGAAGGACGCATTGGCTGAAATAATATTTCCATTCAAAAGACTTTAAAGATACACATTTAAGTAGGTGTTAAAACAAAGTAATAAATCGTGTCGAAAGCATTTTTCTTTGAATGTTTTGATGACTTTCTCTTGTTGGTGCTCTATTTTCAAATCTTTCTGTCTTTTCTTTCATTGTTTGTAAAGCTAATCCGTCAATTATGGTGAAGTCATTCTGGGCCTCGTTTTGTTTTTTTGCTGATCCATTGTATAAAAAATGTTTTCGATCAAGATTCCTATCATAGATATAAATTGCAACCTTATTGTCAGCTTTCATCCTTTGTTAAATTTTTGGATTTTATTATTTTTATGCAATTTTTTTTAAATAAAGTGATTAATTTATTTATTAAAGTTGGGTTTTTTTCCAATCATCCCTTTAGAGTTGTAGTCTATTAGTGCACAACTCCATCCACAACATTGGTACTAACTTGAAGCCATTCTCAAGCCAGTTGGAATTGTCCAATAGAAAAAATACTTGTGAAGGAACAGGAAGCTCAATCCAACCTAAGAGATCTCCAGAGAACCAACTTGACAACAAAACTTTTTATCACATCAAACTTTGTTACACGATAACAAAGGCTTTCTATAAATTCTACGATATTAATTTAAAACATTAGAGAAGAAATAGAGAGGACTCATTGGAGCAGAAAAAATCAACTAAATAAACTTTCATTCAAAAGCTTTATTTACTACATACAATGAGCTAACTTTTTCATGGAGTCTACTTGCAGTTTCAATTCTGCTAAAGCTGCCTCATGACAAATGATTGTGTTTGCCGATGTGCAGCTTTTTCGTAAGAAACCCATCACTGATTCCTGGCAAAGCACATTTTATTTTCTATCAGAGGAGGATAATTATGAAATGGACCTCATTTTGCAATCAGGAACTACAATTTCTGGCTCTATTTAGAAACAGCGTAGGTATTTACCATTAGTTTTCCTGAGCACATGAGTGTTGTTATAAATACGCCAGAAGTAGGTCAAAATTGCAAAATGTAGTCCAAATGATGATAATTCGATGAGAGAAATGGTAATATAATCATTTTTCTTACATACAATAGTAGGTTAGAGATCAACTTTAAATACTAGTGCCACTAATGTCCGGGCTTTTCAAGGTGGAGTAAATTATTAGTAACAGGAAAAAAGGAACTAAAACATAATGTTAAATCAGACTTAAGTACAAATCACCACAGAATATCCCAGGGGCAAGACTAGTAGAATTTGAGATGCCCGAAAAGAAAAAAATTGAAATAAATGGGACGGGAGTTGTAAAAGTTAAAGTTAACATCTTGAGATCAATAAAAGGAAAACAGTTAAAAACATGATGTTAAAGAAATTCTTGCGCAGGGATTTTACTTAAGTAGAAGGGAGTTAGTGGTTTTTAACGATAGACTTTAAATATAAAATATGGTGCCTACAACTACAGTCCAAATAATAATGGTGAAGAAGAGGAGTATTCGTTAAAATCTGGTCAACGATTTTGGCATGATTAACTGTACAAGTGAGTAATAGGATCCTTGTTATAAAATCAGGTTCCCAAATACAGTGAAAACTTGATTTCCAGACTTGTAAAAGGATTAAAAGTTCGTTGCGAAGCAAAAACAAGTAAAAAGGTGGAGGGATGGTGCTGGGTCCACACCATTTTGCGGGGAAAGCAAAGTCAAGAAGTTCCAAAGATTATAATGGACCACTAGACAGGGTACGAATTTAAGCATTCCTTATGTAGATATTTGTCAAACATGATGATACATTGATACATTGTCAAACTCCTTACTTAATGATTCTTGATTCGTGAATTCAAACCACCCGCTCATGAAAACTCAATGCTCTGCGTGATTCACATCGCACGCTAAACGTTATCATGACAGTCTCTTGCAATATAAAAATCTGGCAACCTCATTCTTGACACTTTGGCGCAGCTATAGCAAATTGCTCATAGTTTGGACAACACATGGTGGGAAATGAACATTGCTCGTAGAGCTTGGAGTTTCTTGTGAGCGGGCAGTTCAAAATCCGCGCAACCAATGTGAAAAAAAAGGTTAATATCTTCGTAGGAGTTGGTTTCAGTAATTTTCGTTGCGCAAATCGTGTTCAACGTGAAATTTTGGTTAAGAAACATGTAACAGAATGCTTGAATTCGTGCCTTGTCTAGTGGTCCATTAGAGCAAAAAAAAAGTTAACTGAATCAGGAATTGGCTCAATAAACTTCCGATTAATAGAACTGGGAAAAAAACACCATTTCCACTATAATGTTTGATTAGGTGATCATGGCTTGAAGCTTTTCATTGCATACCGGCTGCACTGGAATAATTCCTACAAATTGCTGCCAAGATGAGCAAACTTTGCTTAGAAGTCCTTATGCAACCATCATTCCTGTATACTTATTTTTTGTCTTTCTTTGAGGGAGGAATTTGCATTTTAAAATTTCTAACTGTACCATAAACTAAAGTAATAATAAGGATGAACAATCACTCCTTTAAATTAATTGTTAGTCATCAAGCTTTCACTGTGCTCATTCTTCATACGATTTAAAAAAACAGGTCCGAATTAGGGTCCTCTACATTGGCAAACATGTAAGCCAGATAAGCGCATATTAAAGACCCAAAAAAGCAGAAAACAGATAGCTTGAGGTACAGAAATGCACTCACCTGAGCAGCAACAGCAGCTTCTAATTTTTCGATTGTTTCTGCATTTGCTGGCACGCTTGCAGGCTGTGAGGGAGCAGACTTACTTTTATCTGTAGATTTTGCTTCTGTTTTAGTTGGTTTTGTTGCTGCGGAATCATTCTGCTTTCCAGCGAATCTAGCCTTCAATTCCTCCACAGTTTTTGGTGTGATCAGTGAAAATATTGGAGATGGCTGAAATAGCCCAATTCTCAAATTAGTAAATCAAACTTACAGCAGATCGTTGCTATTCATAGATGCAATTATCAGGAGAGCTGGACATGTTTGAAAAAAAATGGATGGTTGTCGAATGATGATGCAGTGAAGAAGAAAGGATCAAGATTATTTTGAATGAAGTTCATGTTTCATGCATTTTTCCACTACAGGATGATAAGAAAAAAAGATGCTATCAACTCTTCATAAAAGGTGAGCCACTGCCAAAACATTCTTGACAGTCATCATGAGCGAATTTTCGTTCGTTAACTGTTGACAAACTCCGTCAACAATTTAAGAAATACGTCATCAAAACCAATTTTCAATCTCCAGTTGTGATTAAATGGGCGTGGCCTAGCCTTTCCTGCCAAATCGCCCATAATCAAGTGTAATTTAATTTTTGCAGTTAACAGTGTTGTGAATGTGCTCCAGGCTACGTTATTTAACCTATTGACGTTTCTGGTTAGAGAGTGAAACTCATTAACAGCCCCGTAAACAAGTACCAGGCTCTGCTTGGTTGATGAAAATACCAACTTCATTAACGTGCAGGGCAACTGTTTACTGATTTTGTTTATAGTTGATAACCGAAAATTTGCCTCATGAAAAAATTCTCACTGTTCCACTTCTCCTGGCACTGGTTGAATGAAGCTTATGTAGCTATGCGGAAAAACACTTTATGCAAGCTGGCACCTGTTCGTATGAACAGTCACATGAATCAGCAAATAAAAAGCAACACACAGGGCCAGATTTCCATTCTTAGCGCCCTAGGCTGAACTTTGGTTGGCAGTCTCTAAGGTGGCGAGGGTGTCTCCAGACCTCCTTTCACTTCCCTCGCAGACAAAAAATAGGATGTCAGGTGGGGGATGGGAGGGAATATTTTTCAAACATTTCATTAGAAAATATGATTTAAACAGTATCAAGGTGTCCAATTGCGAAAATAAAAAACTGGATTTGGAAAATAAAAATTGATGAAAGCCTAGAGAAATACATTTTTAATATACAAAAACTGATGTTTTGGACTGAAGTTTTAAATAGTTTGTGCCTCTTAAATTGCTGCGCCCTTAAGCTACAGCTTATGTAGCCTAATGGCAAATCCGGCCCAAAGAACAAAAGGAAGCCATTGTCTTCACAAAAAAATTAGATCAGCAAGGCACAAATGAAATTTTTATTTTCTCCAAGTTTACTTGTACTGATTCTAGTGAAATTGATAGGTCATCATATTACGAGTGAGATACTGCTTCATACTAAATCCTAAAGTCGAAAAATCAATGAAAGCCTATACACCAAGTTCATTTCAAAACTGACAAAAAACAACTCAGTTGTTGTTGTCATCACTTTTCTGTCTACATCACTTTGAATCCCGGAATAACCTTTAAAACTGATGTGAACTTTATAGCAAAAAATACTTACATGGCCAATTTTGTGCCCAGGAGGCAAAAGCATGGTGACATCCTCCGTAAGAACGTACAGACTTTCTGGAGCATTGAGTTGCTCTGCCATGATCTTTGATGTATCTGGCATGTACGGTCTTATCATGATTGACAGCAAACATGCCAAATTGCTTAGCAGTCCAATTACTGTACCTGCACGAGATCTGGAAGAATAAATTGTATTCCATGTTAATTTAATAGAAAAAAAATCTTGAAATCAGACCCTTGACAGTGTTCATTAATTTGCTGTAAATGAGAATAACTTAAGGATGCTCTTTTACTAACAGGAGGTGTAACAAATTATGTTCAGAATTAATGATTTTACTGACAGAGAACAAGTATTTAAGATGTATTTGTTGCAGTGAATAAATCGCACTACCCAGGCACATAATGCGTCCTGATCCTACCGTCCCTAGCATTGAAAAGTTAAAGTCTGCATCAGCTCATACTTACCCTAAAACCATTGCATCAATCTGCTGCTAATACATCAAGGTTCATTGAGAGCTAGAATTTTGCGCTCCGCCTGACTATGGCTCAAGAAAAAATATTCTTGCGATTTCCAACGAGGCAGTTTGCTCCAAAATTTAGAATGCAGTGACTCCGATTGTGGATACAGGTTTCCAAACTTTCTTCATTCCCCGGTTCTCTGACTTTGCCTTGAAGTTTTTGCTTTTTGTGGACTCCAACATTGTCAAATTCTCTAAATTTCCTTACTATTTCTTTGACCTTCAAACCAAACTTCCTCTTAAAAGTTTTGAGAAAGCACTCATTGCTAACCTCCTGGCAAACTTTACATTTCTACCTAACTCGACCTAACTCGAGGTTCATATTATGGAAAGAGACTCTCAGCTATTCTCTTACCTTTCTTATAAATGCTCTAGGTTTTCATTGTGAATAATTTTTGATTAACTGTGCACCTAACCTAAAAACTGGGCAAAGGCTCTAAGAAAATTTCTTGAGAAGTAGCAGAGGCATTAAAAAGGTTAAAGGACACGTTCATTGCCAAGCCGGTCATAGTGACCCTTTCTTTGTTGGCCATGTCAGACCAAAACAGTCACAGTGACCGGCGTTTTGAAAGACGCCATTTCATGACACAGCTGTGCAATGCAGGTGCTGTCTGCAAGTCTTTCTGGAACCTAATTATCAAGGACTGGTTGCGTTCATAATTGATAGGAAGCAAGATTGTTGCGGCGAATAGTGAAAACAGTTGTTTGAACCATTTTTGAGAGTGAGATTTCTGATTGTGGACAATATTAGATACCTAAACAATCCTTCTTGACTGCTTTCAAATTTAGTGCTCCAGGCAAGTGACTTAGATGGAAATATTCAACCCCAGCAAAAGTCACCCCAAGTAAAAATTTCCAGGCAAAATTTTTGGAATCAGGCTCATTACTAGCTTTATGAAATTAAAGAGCAACCTATTTTACAGTTTTTCCATTCTAAAGTGGATTTTAGGTAGCGGCTCATAGAAACTTACTTCTCTTCTTCGGAACCTTTCATTAGGACCCATGGTTTTTCGGCTTGCATCAGCTGATTACAGTATTTAGAGATGCAAAGGATGTGCTTTATTCCATCACGGAATTTCGCCTTATCTAAGACCGCCATGAACTGCCTCAATTCTCGAGTAATGAGAGCCAAGAGTTGAAAGTCTTCTTTATTCAGCTTCATGTCAGGAATGACAGATCCGAAGAATTTCTCGCAGAAAGTGAGAGCTCTAGAAGGGAACAAGATATCTTCAGAAAAAACAAATTTGAGTGAAGAAAAACCTACAAAAATCAAGGTAAATACCTACATTTCATTCAATGAAAACTTATTGCCTACAGCATTCTTACAATCATTTTGAACACACGAAACAAAACTACGAAATCCATAAAACTGGCTAATCCATATGTTGATGCAGTTGTTTCAGTGTTGATGAATACATGTTTTTGAGGAGGATGGAATATTGCAAAAATATATTTCATTGAGCTCAATTGAAGAAAACCCACTCAACTCAATTCGCATTGGATACGATGCCCATTTAACATGAAGCCAGGAGAATGTAGATATGCTTAAAAACTGAGTTCAATGCTTTAGCAAAGGACTCATATCTAAAGAAAACATTTTTCCACTCAATTAAGTCAGGCTAATAGTTCAAATGAGCGCCTATTTTCATAATAGTTCCAATGAGGGCCCATTTTCATAATCAGACAGTAAGTATAATCACGATTGAGCAGCCTATTTAAGAATTCAAAGTTCCATTGGACGGACTTATTTCAGCTAAGTTAACTTATTTTATGATCGGCACATAAATATTCCCGGTTAAAATGCGTCATTAGAATTTATGTCAAGTTCTTTTGGCAAGTCTATTATTCTGCTTTCTACCATTACGATACTATGTTTTTCACGATACTATTGACCAGTGGTCAAACTTACCTGTTGGTGAAATTTCCTAAGTTGTTTAGCAACTCTGTGTTAGTTTTAGCAGCCATATCTGCCCAACTGAAGCTAGAGTCTTGCGCCTCAGGCCTTATGTACAATAGATAGAATCTGAACACATCTGCGCTTATTCCTGTATCTCGTGCATCATTACCAAAGACACCAACACCTCTGGATTTTGAGAATTTTCCATCTTCATAATTCAGGTACTCTGCAATAAAATGAACAACAAGAATTTTACTTTTGCAACAGTAGCCTTCAGAAGAGAGAAGTAATGGAACACAAAAAGAAGTTATCAGAGAGAAGTAATGGAACACAAAGAGAAGTTATCAGGAGATACAAATTTTATGAGCAATTCTGATGGATGTAGGTGCTGATTTCTTTTGCCACAAAATTGCTACAATTCGTTGAGCCAAAAATGTAGTTTCTATTTTTTTTAAAACTTAAATTAAAACTTTCAGTAAAATATCTTTACCTGTTGCCATGATGTGGCTGACCTTCGTGTAATTTTTTTGGGTAGCCATCTCAATAGCTGGAAACATGATAGAATGAAAAGGAACATTATCTTTGGCCATGAACTGATACAAAGTGATTTGGGTTGATTTACTGGGAAGCCACCATTTTTCCCACTCATCAGTGTAGGCGGCTGATATACTCATATAACCAATAGGAGCATCAAACCACACATAGAAAACCTAAAAAAAGAGATAAAATCAATAAAGATATGGGTACATAAAATAATTAAATTAATAATTGAATCCTTTGTTGAGTTTAATTTTTACTCCTTTTACTGTTACTTTTCAGTTTGATGTTTACATACGGATACATATAAGTATATTGTAAAAAAATTACTTGAAGTTTTGAAATTCAAAAATTAACTTTCTATTGTGACACTCTGTATGGTAACAAAACCACAAATTTAAGGAAAGCCTGTGACCTTAGAAAATATCAGTCCTAAAAGAATTGAAGATATTTATTATTAAAGATAGAGTCTCGCGGGAGATACAAATTGATTAAGTTTGAATTATAAAGTTGTCTACAAAAATGGGCTTTGGCTGCAATTGCCTCAATTAGGTAGTTACGAGGTTTAAAAAATCTTCCTTAAATAAATTTTTCTCTACATTACCTTCTTCTCAAAACCTTGCAATGGAACCTGAACGCCCCATTTTAGATCTCTTGTAATACATCGCGGTTTCAGTCCATCTTTCAACCAACTCTTTGCAATCACTCTTGCATTGTGGGACCAACCAGAAGATGTATTGTCCACCCATTTCTTCAGGTCTGCCTCTAGCTGAAATTGAAAATCTTAATTTAAGTTCAACTTGAAAGAAAACGCAGAAAATAATCAACTCAAGCCGGACACTTTCTACATGGAGCCAATAAAAATCGATAAAAGAGAAACATTCCATAGAGGAAAATACGGATTTACTGTTTCGATATATTAGTCACAGCCGTCATAAGCATGAAATTCAAAAGCATAGTTACTGAAAGTTATTTGAAAACTTTTAGGAGGTATAAAAACAGTTGAAACTCAAAACAATTGTAATAGGTAAAAATATTTGAATTTATAGTGTTTCATCTCAAAATTTCTTGGGTGTTTGCTTTGCGACAAAAAACCCTGGAATTTAGTCTAAGGATTCCAAACACCTTGGAGGTAAAAGAATTCTTCAAGCATGATGATCTTATGCCACAAAATTTTTGAATATTCTGGTTGCGAATATTTGGTGTTCACTCAAAATTTAGTGAGACCTCTAGAATAGGACACTCCCTATGGCCAGATATTTCTTCCTCATCCTCAAATGTAATATAAGATTCACAGGAGTTAACAGAGTCTAATGGCCGAATACTCTAATGGTAGGATACTCTAATGGCCTGACGCTTTCATGGTTTCTAATGACTGGATAAGGACACTAAAATTGGCGACATAGTTGACTGCATAGCTTCATTGAGCAGACAGAATCTGCCAAAATAAATGATACAGAGAGGTTGTCTTAAGATCAAGATTGCCATTCATACATGTATGAAACCGCTTCAGAAAAGGACCCTTAAATTTCGATAAGTGTAAATATTGGTGCCACTGCAAGGAATGATGATGCTGAACGATTTTCCAAGAAAAGGAGGGAATATTTTAAAAAATTTACAAGACAGAGCAAAAATTAAAATATCAAAAATATAAATTCTTCGTATAATTATGGTTAAAGTTCTTTGAATTAGAAGACAGAAGAACTTTTGATTTATCATGCTAAAAAGAAAATGAGATATCACTTCCAAAAAGGACTTTTGTCTGCAAAAAATTCAATATTGAGATATTGGGACTGCTATGTGGAGGAATTGACATTGAAAACTTTTGTAATTTAGACTTGAACTTCGTTCTTTGGTTTTTTGGAAAAACAGTCAGGTGGCTTATGGCTGAGAGAACTGCTTAATAATATCTGAACAGTGTCTCAAGTGAAATAATGTCATACAAGAGAAATTTCTAGGTTTTAGTGCAGAAGGAAAACTTTCTGCTAACACTCACTTTAGGTAATTCCAAGAAGAGTTGCTCCGAGTGCCTGATGACAGGAGTATTTCCGCAAACTTTACACCTTGGGTTTATTAATTCAGTGGCATTGATTAGACTACCACAGCCATCACACTGATCACCTCTAGCATCTTCGTACTTACATTTTGGACAAGTGCCTTCTACGAAACGATCGGCTAAAAACCTAAAAAAGAAACGTCATGATGAGTTTTGTTCTTAAATAAACAAGTAGCAAAAGCTACCTACTGAGGGGGCTCCACCCCCCAGACTCCCCTTTAAAATTATGTATGTGAGACTTTCAGTATCATAGAAGTCGTGCGGCAACACATGCCAGATGAAATGCCACGATTAAAATTATTGGATCAGACGATGAGCTGATAAAAGCATTACCTAGTAATTTTGGAACAATTCTGACTGACAGTTTGGTTGCGTTAATTATTACTTTGATTTGCGAAATACAGTTTGTTATATCCTGTGTATCTTGTATTGTAGGTTGCATATACTAGGTTGTGAGGCGCGACCGTATGAGGTAGCGTCAGGCCTGTCTCTCTCTGTTCATTCTTCAATACATTCTGATTTCGTGCGTACGCTTTGTCTTGCTTGCTCTCTTCTTTCCTCCCGTTTCCCGTATATTATGTCAATGGCGACGAGAATTTTAATTACCTAATAATGGACCAACTAATGTATGAATCGACAATGAATACAAGAAAAATTTTTACATGAACAAGAAACGTTATAAATTAAAGAATCTGAGCTAAAAGATGAAAAATCTTACACCCATAAAAAAAACTTAAAAGGATACTTTCCGTTTTTTACTTTTTTCAGATTAGTACTTGAAAAGTACCCCACTGATTTCCGGTTTTTTTACATACAAGTTTTTACTATGATTAGTTTTTAGACCACAAAAAGCAGGTAAAAATTCAACAAAGAACCGCGCAGATATGGCGTTGGAGTAATTCTGCATAGATTTCGCGAATTTCTTGGATTTCGCTAATTTTGCAGGAAAATGTTACGCATTTTGCAACGAATTTTGCTGATCAAAAACGATTTGGCAGTTAGACAAAAAAATAACCGATTTCGCATTAATATGCTTTATATTTCTATAATAAAGAGGTCATGATCAGTGCTTCTCTCTATTTGTCAATTTAATTGGGCAATTTTAATATATCCGGAAAATTTTGCCGCGAATCGCAATAGCTAAATATTTCTAACCCTTATGATCATCATCCTTCCAAGTGGACGTATTTCCATCAAACGGAACTATGTGCATTAAGGCATGAGCCCTGATACCCGAAAGAATACATTCATAACAGGAATCACGTCATAATGCACATAGTTCTGTTTGATAGAAATACGTCCAATTGATCTTAAGAAGAGGAAAGCTGGAGAAAGGAGGCATTGTAGTTACCTGTCACATTTTTCACATAACAGCTGTTCGACAGACGCAGTTGAAGTGAATCCATTATTGTGAACTAGTTTGAAGATAGACTGAGCAATTCTGCAAATGATTAAGAGAATATCGAGTCTGATTATAGAATTTGTAATTTTAATCAATGTTTAATAAACCCAAGAGGTTTCTTATGGCTATTTTGCTAGTGATAGGGTACAAATTGACATTGAAAGCTGGGCACACTTATTATAAGAGCCAACAAAAAAGTGAATGGGAGATAAATGAATCTCTCTCTATTATGCTGCTTCTTAGTTGGGCACTCAAATTAGACTACACAGGCCTGTTCAAAATCTAGGAATTGCCACGAAAATATGGGCGCTGCTAGCGTAAATTTTAGCGAGAAAAGCATTTCCAAACTTCAAAAAGCTCTTTACAGCTTTTTCGACTGCATGTTAAGATATATTTGTGGAGCTCAACAGGCCAAGTCAGAGCAAAATTACACTGATTAAGACTGACTTTGTACCCTCAAAATCCACCAAGGTATGGGTTGTTCCCTTGAAGCTTTTTCGAATTGCAACTAAAGAATATTTTCTCTTGTTACAGAATCAGAATAATAACTATTTTAAGCTTATGGTATTACATGAAAAAGAATTAAAACTTACTCCGTTTGTTTCTGAGTGGTAGTGCGGCCAAATTGATCAAATTTTATATTAAACCACTCATAAATATCTTTATGTATTACAAAATATTTATCACAAATTTGTTGAGGAGTTAATTTTTCTTCTAAGGCTTTGGTTTCAGTTGCTGTGCCGTACTCATCGGTTCCAGACACAAACAGTGTATTTCTGTTCCTCAGCCGACAATACCTAATCAGTAGAAAGAAAATTTAGATAAAACAATAGAAATGAAAAACAATGGATGACATGTTATAACAAGAAAAGTTTAGGACGTTGCCTGCCACAATGTTTTGGGTATATATATCCCCTGATGCCATAGCGCCCTCCCCCCTTCTCTAAAAGAGAGAAAAAAGTTCTGTGGTGCATTCTTTGACTGGGGCAATACCACACGTGAGCCATAAGCATATACACGGCTCCCATAACTGGTGTCCTCACAGGAGGCTTCAACTTGAGTGACCGTATCCTGGTTGCAAAAACAGGCATGAATGCTGGTCAATACAACCGCTGTGGCAAGCTTCGAGTAGATGGTCAAGAATTATTTAAATAAAATAAAAATGTTATCTCTTCCTTCTTTCATTTTTTTTCCTTTCTTTTTTTCTTTTTTAATTTTAAGTCTTCGTCAATCTTTTCCTTCGTTCAAGCTCAATATGAGGACATGTGAACTTTCTTAAATTGTCGGAATTATACAGTCATGCAAAAATTCTTTCAATCTTCATGATAAGCTGTTCCACATGGTTTTTTCTTTGCAGTAATTTGCAGATTATGCTACTTGAATTGTAAGAGCAGAAACACAATCTGACCTTGCAAAAACATCAGCTGATAAAACACAACCGATTATGTTTCCTAGATGAGGCACATTGTTCACATAGGGCAAAGCTGAGGTGATTAGCACATTGTTTTCACCTTCTTTTGGCAATCTGGAAAGAACATTACAAGATGATTAAGGTAAAACAGAAGAGAGAGAAGTGCACTAGAAGGGGAGTAATATTGAAAAAAGAAGCAAGATATTCCAGATTTACTCTTTGAGTTGAGCAATTTTCTGATAATAAACTTTTAGGACAGAGCAAAGATGAACTTCATTATTTTATAGGTAAGAGGCGAGCGACCAGAATTATGCTTGCATCTATGAAAAATACCAACAGAATTGTCTGCCCTCTTAGGTTACTAGCCTTATTTTTGTACAGATTGGCAGAAATGGAAGAACACAAGATATAGGGATAGGTTTGGGTTCAGTTTAAATTATTTACATAACCTACGTTGCCTAAAAAATGATACTTTTTTAACTGAAGAAAGATTTGTAAAAGACTAATGTCTAATATCTAACAGATTTCATTTTTTTTTTTCATCAGCAAACTTTGGGCTCCACAGAATCTTGTTATCTTGAAGTTAACCACAAATATTTTGAATCTCAGTTAGTTTTCATGCCAATCTTCAAGCTGTCTTTTTGAAGACTATTCTAACCCATTGGAAATTTTTTTGTTTGAATTTAAACAAATCTTGGCCCCTGTGCATACAGAAATTTTTAGCCTTCTAAAAAATAGACTCAAACCACCTTGAAGTGATCCAAAAGAAACTGGCAGCTTTAAAATAAAAAGATTCAAGACTCATTTACTTCATGAACAAAATTCCTGCAGCACATTTTGCGTACTTTTTTGTAGCAGGACATCAAGTCTTGAGATTTTTGACAGCAATCATAGCAATCATAGGCTAAATTGATACAGAAAAATCTTCTAAAACTTACATATTAAAATGTAATTTCTAGGCTGAAGTCGAGAAGGTTCTCTGAAAATAATCTTTTTGAGATGGGAGAATTAATGATTCCTTAAAGATACAACCCAAAATTTTGAGATAAATATTTTACCTGACTTAATACCTCTCCTTTGACTAATTTTCTTGACTAAGGCCATAATAAATCTTGGAGATCTCTAGCCTTGCAAGTCCAAAAAATTAACATCCTTAGAAAATATCTAAAAAAAGAGAAGCTGAGCATATATCTGGAGAGCTGATATTTGTCATCTAAGACGGAAGAAAAATGAATTACTGACTGAAGCAAAGTGAAGGGAAAACAAAAATCTGACTTAAAGCAGAGGTATAAAAAATAAGGAAATGATAAGGAAGAACATGCGAGAGGAAAAAAAAGAAAAAACGGAATGGAATAGGGCTGAATTAGGTTAAAAGCGTATAAACACAGACCAATCAATTCATCAATATCGAATATCAAGTTGATAGGTGCTTCAGATCAAAGTGGAATTATTTATGATATTAAAACCTGCAGTTAAAAAGGTATCATTTATGAACAAGTGTTACATTTCTTTAGACAGGAAAAATAAAGTAATAATCTTGGATTTTTTCCTTTTTTTTTTAGGATGTGTCTTCCCCCACAAGTGGTAACAAAATAAGCTGGTTCATTCTGTATCTCTTCCAATTCTGAATCCTGGCCCCAAGGAGATGTGAGAGAGTAGTAAATTAATGACAAAATCAAAAGTAAATATGGGAAACTACGTTATTAGACACCTCTCCTCACAAAATCCGAGAAACCTAGCAGAATCCTCTGATTTACAGTTATGCCGGACTGGTTCTAAATTTAGACTAGGGGTTCGCGAATAACCGGCCGGCTAATACTAATTCACTCGTGAGGTCGACACTCTGGCACCATCTTCTGACATTACATCAGAGTTTAATAATCTTAGATAACAAAAAAGTTGTCCCAGTGATTCTGGCGAGGCACTAAATTGTTTAATCTTATCCGTAAAAATCAATCCTACGGCTCTTTACAGGCGATAAAATTTTCAAAATAGACAATTGAATGATGTTACTGACTGCAACTTCGTGTTTAAACCTGGCATGAGAGTGAGTAATCCTAAAAAATGCAATCTCGGGAAACGCACAATGATCATGTTGTAAATGATTTTGTATCACAGTATCAAAGTCGCGCAACAAAATGTGGGTAATTACTCTGTACAGTAAATAAGCATAATGAGCGGAGTAAAAAATTGTTTACGATTTTTTTCTGGTGCGGAGAAGGGGCGAGAAATAAAATGAAAACAGAAAAGATGCGTAGCTAAGTGAGGTTATGGGATAGTATTTCTGATTTTAACATATGTATTTTGGTGAATTCAATCAATTTTTGACCAATTCTACAAATCTGACTTTTCATTTGAATTTTATGAGATGCTTTTTATATTCATTCCCATCTTTGACACCTTTATATCTTTGTGAATTCCATTTATAAATGAGGTTTCTTATTTTCCAATCACTTGAAAATTGTTCAAAGTGCCTACCTTTTGGACTTACAATTTCATGCAATAATCCGTCTTTCAGATCTGCAGATCACCGTATATAAGTGGGCTTCACCGAATGGTTTTATCTCAGCTCTCGTCTCAATACTAAACTTAAAATCCTATCAACATGTGAAACATTCAAATGCACAGGACAAAATCTTTGCTGCTTAAGGTTCCAACATAAAATCAAAGGGAAAGAAAGGGCTACTTAGAATATGAAGCAGAGAAAATTTGAAGAAAACCCTTACATAGGATGGACATGAGGTTTCAGCTTCGGCCTTGTTGCGCTTTTCTTCTCCCAAGCTTCGATACAGGCACTGATTTCATCTTCAGATACAACGTCTTTCACAGGAGTGGTCTATAATGAAAGAATAAATCATTAGCATTGATCTATGTAACCATAGTAGGATTTTAATCCCTCAAAAGAGTAGAGTTCTTTATTTGAATTGAATGTTTTAAACAATTAAATAACTTTATCATGATGGGTACACATTTTTGTTCAACCATTACACACATTGGAAGACTAAGTCAAGATTATCACCACCTTTTTGATGAGGTAATCTACCAGGCCAGCTTTTTCCAATAAAAAAAAAAAAAGTTTACAATTTAGTGGTGCTTTCAACCAATTGTTGGTCTTTAATTTTTTAAATTTGCACGTTTTTTTCTAGTCTCAGACCTCGCAGGATGCAGAAAGTTCTTCAGAATTAAAATTAGTTGCAATCTCAGTCAATCAAAATTTCTTCACTCTTGAAAATTTTCCTCTGTCTGCAAAAAAGATATCAGATGTGCATTGAATCGAAAATTGGGACGCTTGTCTTATTTGTCTCATTTTTGACTTGGGGGAAAAAAATGTTTGTTAAAAAAATTCTTTGTGACTTCTTACATTTCCTCATATCACAGGCAAGCCAAGGCTTGCACTTGGTAATTTTCTTCAATCCTGAGACCTAAAGCTTCCTGACAGAACATTGCGTTGGCTTTTGCTTGTCACTTTTTCAAAACCGGGGTCTGAAATGGACATGAAGCTCAAATTTGTTTTAGTTACGAACAATCAAGCGAGCATCATATTTCTTTCTTTGGTAATTTAATTGGGACTTGTGGTTTACTATTTTTCTCAACTTTTAAACATGGGAAAAACTGTTAGCAAGTAAATTTTCCTCGGACTAAACTGACTCATTATTCTTCTTTTAGAACAAAACTAAAAATTAATAACCCAAGATCTGACCTTTGATTACAAAATAATTGACAGATGAAGGTTCAGTGATTTTTTGCATTGAAAATTTCTTTTCTTCAAAAGTGCATCTGAGTTATTATTTTTCATTAACTTTCTCAAAACCAGTTTGGAAACATTGTAGGGTTTTTTTTTTTTTTTTTTTTTTTTTTTTTTTTTTTTTTTTTTTTTTTTTTTTTTNTTTTTTTTTTTTTTTTTTTTTTTTTTTTTTTTTTTTTTTTTTAATGAGTTTGTGCATTCTACAGAGCACCCAATCAAAATTCTCTGGACGCCTTTATTCTTAGATGATTTTTTGACACAAGAGCAACTGATTGATTGAATTGTTGAGAAATAATTAAGGTTATAACCTCCGAGGCTGGAGCATTACTGATGGAGGTTTTAGCGAGTTTTGCAGTGATAGTACTGGTGGAGGATGCCTCAGTCACAGCTAGACAAGAGGAGGAAGATTGTAGACTGGTCAGAACAGCTTCTCCAGATTTTCCATTCCAAGATTTCATGGCTGCCTGAAATAGTATTAAAATGAACATAGAAGTAAGACTGCGCAAAGAGGAGAAAAGAGAGTTTTGCTATTTTAACTTATGAGATGCACAAGACACAGTTAACTTTTCTCACAGCATTTTCGAGGGAACTCAAACATTGAAAGTAGTAAACATGGGAATGTTGATCCAAGATGACATTCGAAAGCGCTGTTCTTAAATTTATTGGAAACAGCCTTTTAAAATATTATTTTGGAAATTGATCATAAAAAAAATTTGCAAAGTAACTTCAGAAAACTGTGTCTATGTAAAAATCTGGCAAAATTGACAGCACTATCATGATGAAAAAGGAGAGGGTTAGAAAAATGTTGAAAGTCCACTGGAGTCATATGACTTTGGCCATGTAGAATTTAGGAGACTTGTTTCCACCGGCGATAAAACGCTATTCAAATTGGCTAATTCAGCGCACTGTGCAATCCACGAGTTACTTATTTTCTTCACCAAGGACTAAACTTTTAACTCGAATATTGTACTAAAAAAAAAGTTTTGCAAACTTTGTGGCGAGAAAGTATTTTCTTCAATTTTGAAAGCAACATTTGGCATCCTTTATTAAAAACTAAATCCAAAACTGATAAGTATTTAACATCATAACAAAACTTTTGAACAGACACGACAATAAATCAAATAGTTTGACAAAAGTAAAAAGTGGACTTACTTGCACTTCAGGAAGTAAATGGATTGCTTCAAACCACCTAATTACATTTGCTGCTGAGCTGCAATATTTTTCTCTCAGTTTAGGTTCCGTGATGACCCCAAACAAAGTCGACCAAACTGTGATATCAGCTACTGTGATAAAGCCCTAGGTTGCACAAGGATAAAAGAGGAAATAAACTTAGTTACCTTGAACCAAAGTTGAAATCAAACTTCAGATTGACACGCCAAGAAATTTTTTTTTGGCCAATACTTGTGGTAAAAAAAATCCTCACTTCGGCTCCACCAGGGTTGCCACGAAATTGAGAAAATGAAATTCCCTAACATTTCGCTGATTTTCTGGACACATTTTGGTAAAATTACCTTACATTAGAAGATAAGCTGGATGGCTAAAAAAAGAAGTGATTTGAAATTATTTTCTTGCAAAATTTGTTCTCAAAAACATCAAAGTCATTCTAGAGGGCAAACAAAGGCGATTGAACAATGTTTCCGTGGCACTGCCCAGTTTTCCTAGACTTTTTAATATTTCCTGACAATCCCCAGTTTTTTCGGTATTCCGTCTCTATGACTACCCTGTCCTCTGGTCATGGTGACCTATGAATGAGGATAGAAAAGCAGTTGATTCTAAGCATCACTTAACATTGTCTTGTCCTGGAGATGACAAGGCAAATATTTATTGGTGCATATCGCATATATAATATTTTTCACTTGTGAGTTTATATCAAGTAAATACAAGTAGATCACCAGGTTTAAGAGTTTTCCCTCAATAGAAGAGAATTCTATAGCTCATGGGGTATATTTGAAGATAAAAATCTTGACCTTGTCCAGTGTATTACTGATATGGTCCAGATGTAATCTAAGACATGGCTAATCAAGGCTGAGATGAAATGAAAAACTAAAACTAGAAGGCAATGAAAAAGTTTACCTCATGGAGAAACTTCGTTTTACTTAATACTGTATCCAAAATCTTTATATTATTTGTCAATGTTGTTGAACCTTCTTTACTCAGAGATTTCAATACTGACGGCTGAAAATTGAAATACATTTACATGATTACATTTGAATACATTTACATGATTAACTTCAAGAAAGAGTATTGAATAAAACCCAACAAGTTTGGAGAGAGTAAACCAATAATTGATATGAAAAATAGCTGACAAATGATAGACAGTAAATAATCATCGTCTTGAATCAGTAATCAAACAAGATGTATTGCATTGATGAGAGCTGTAATGTGGAACGAAGCTTTATCATCTTGTGATCAAGTAAGTTTGATGTAACCCATCGAAAATTACTTCACTGAACCAACGTTACCTTATTGTTCGCATCCAGTTAGTCTAATGGCCAGAGAAAAATCCTTAAATTTTGCATTTGCTTGCTTCAGCGCTCCCTTCTTTACAAGAAACAGCTTTACTATACTGTCACGTAATTTCCTTACTACTTCTCACTTTGGACTTTTCAACTTTTTGACTTACCATCAAAAATCTCTCTAATTTTTCTGAAAATCACTATACCCTCTTACTTTTGGGGATGGTTCTTCACAGGAACAGCAACGCAACTGTTTAAAACTATGCCAAGTTAAAGTCAATTTCAGTATCAACAGATAGCACTGCCCATATACTTTTCTATGATAAACTTTACGCCTGATCAAGCAGGAAACATTAAAAAAGTTATTTGTCCAGAATTTTGGTAGGTAGGCTCTGTGTGTGTGTTTGGGGGGGGGGGAGGGGGTCTTTCAAAGGATAACTTAGACACCAACTTTCTTCAGGGGCTTTTCTAATCTTTGTGACAAATTTTAAAATTCCAAATTCCAGGTGGTGTCAATCGCAAACAGCCCCTAAGTAATCACCTTGGGCTGAGAATTAACACCAATGATCAAAGGTAAACTAAACAAATAAGCCCAATTCCCTTGATCCAACTTGTCATTTGACTTTTCTTCTGCTTTTGCCAAAAGAAAAGTTGGAGCGTGCTAAACTAACGCAAAAACACAATAATGCGATGAAAAGTTGAACAAAGAGTTGAAACTAAATCTCCTATACGACATCAGCTAAGGCAGTATCTTTGCGAACCAGACGCTGACAGAGGTGCCTAAAGTCCGATTGACGATATGGCGCTGCAGCGGCCACAGAATCAAATTTTAGTACATTTTACTTCTCATCCGACTTTTTGTCCTTGTTTGTCGGATGAAAAGACAAAGTGTGTGAATTACGCTTTAGAAAAAATTTGAATTTAAGGTGTAATAAGAAAAAGGCGTATTTAACAAACCACTAAATGAGAGGCCTCCCACTCTAGCCACTGGTCTACTATGTCAGTTGGAAATGAAGGGAAGAGGTAAAGTGCAGCTGCATTACTAGAAAAAAGCTGCTTCCCATTATCCAATATTAATGCCGGATACCTGGAGTGGTGGAGTTTCGTATCTGAAATGATTAAAATTTAGAACAGTTTAAAAGTAATGGCGATAAACTGAAGAACATGGTATCAAAATTTCCAATATATCTGATTTTCGTAAGCTACTTAAAGCATATAGTGCAATAGAGTTGCAATGAACTGGAGCACCAATAAAGTCAATCCATGAACGGGCCATTCCGAACCCCTTGCTCTGAAAAAGATAAGGTTCATTTCTTAGCGATCAAAAACTTCTAATAGTATGTAAAAAAGGATAGGAGATAACATACTCTCATTCGGGAGTTTGACAAACTTTTATGGTGGGTTTTTCTTCAATTTACAGTTATTGCTATCCTACATTGCCACACCATCATCAGAGCTCACTACAAATTATCTGACTCGCCATTAAGTCTACATTCATCAAAGTAGTACTAAAATCCAAAATGAGACCCTCTACGCATGGCAAGGAAGAGCTTTTGGAGCTGTGCCCCTTCCTTCCCATCTTGTTGAGAATGAAAAGCTGGACTCAGGTGATGAAACATCTACCAGTCAAAAGAACATATTTCAATCTTACATTTGAACTATCAGGGACGTAATAAACCACCTGTGGCCTAAGGTGGAGATGGTAAATTGGAGTTCATGTCTCACTTAACTGCCTAATTGAATTGTAGCAAAAGAGGAAAAATCCAGACTTTTTAGAGGAAAAGGAAATGATAATAATTTTGTGACGCGATGATCGATTATCGCAGATGATACCACTTCCGTGCACCTGAGGGTACTTGGCAGCACTTCAGTTACGAATTTCCAAAGAGTGCCAATTCGTAATTTAAATAGTATACTGACAATGAAAATGCAAACAAAGAAAAGGTTAAAGGGAATACTGATAGAGGATAAATTTGAGAGTAAGCAGAGATTACTTAGAAATTGGTGATGACCTGGACGATTATGGTTCAGCGTTGCACATACCTTTGCTGTCAACTTTCTCACAATCAATCGTCTTGCAAGTTAGATTACCACAAATGAATAACTTTAGAGCATTGGGATTGTTTTCATTCGTTATTAACTTCATGATTTGACTTTTGTAACAATCCACGTGGATAAGGGACACAACTGAGAACTTCAATTTGCAATGCACAGTGAGTGACGCACAGGTACAACTTTCAACTTAACCTAATTGTTGCATGAGACTGAAGCAGCAAGCAGCTGACGGTGACACAGTGCTACAAATGTACAAAGTGACGTCACCTAAAAAAATTCTGGATCCATTGCAAGACATTAAAATAGCAAGCATGACGTCACTATTTATCTTGGATACAGTAGAAAAGCTTTTACCCTCTATACTTTTATTTTCATCGATCATATCAGTTGTTGTCATTATCAGTTTATCCTGTTTATCAGTTATCAGTATGAGAAATTGAGAAGATTCTTCTCCCACTAAGAAGATCCAGAGGTTTGTATTAATGCTTTCCTTTTATGATGTCTTTAGTATTTAATATGTAAAGTTCATTCATCTGCAAATCTGTTTTGGTTTTGAAGCTCTTATGGTCTCAAGTTTTCAGTTGAACTTTACTTGGTTCCGGTGCTGACAACCTGCATGGAGTTCTGCAGAAACTGATGGAAAATCTCCGTTATGAGAGCCTCAAAATGCGTTCAAGTAGATTTAAAATTTTTAAAATTTCCCGGGGCAGGCCCCTGGACCCTCTCTGTGCTGGGGGTGCGGTCCTTAAAAGTAGCACCAGGGCCTGAGATAGGATGTGGCGGGCCTGACATAGTCGAGGCACTTTTTTACTTCTTAGTCATGATGTCTTGACACTTTTCCAGAATTATTCTCTAGACTTTATCTTTACCAATATTCTAGTGTGGATGACTAATAGTTATTCCAATAATGTGCCGTGATACCATGATCAGTATCACCGTGGTATCTCCCAATCCACTATTGTTAAGTACCTACTTGGCCAATCCATTATCATCTCAATTGGCCATCTCAATCTATTATTGTTAAGTACTTGGCTGTGCCTCCTTCACAATTATTGTCAGACATAAGGTTTAGTTTGGTGATTCTTGACACTAGCTTCCATGTAATTCTTCAACTTAAGAGGGTTTGCTCCCGTAAGAAGCAAAATAAACTCCCGCTTCCAGAGTGTCCCTCTATACCACTGAAGCTATGTTAGAGGTGTCGTCAGATAAGATGTCATTTGTTTACTTTCGCTTTGCAGGCGTTTTCGCGTCACTACTATCCACATGTGAACATCTAACTCTTGCAGAAGCGAGAATACAACCTTGGATTTGTTGGAAAGTTTTTTGGTACTTATGAACCTTGTAGCACTTTAATTTTTAGCCACATAGAAATCATAACCACATTAAAGTTGCAGATCATAACTGATAAGTAGTTTTTATACAGTAGGATCATGAAGCGGATCTTTTCAAGGTGGATCGTAGCGAATGAAGCTTTGTGCAGAGGCGCAAATTTGTTGCCTGAGCCTGCAAATCGAAAGTGAAGAAATGTCAACTTATCTGACGATACCTCTGAGAGGGACACTTTTTCTGATAGTTTAAGTTTGTCAAACAGCATGACATGAGCAGAAATGACGTTTATTTCGTATATAATTCCAAATTTTAAAAATTTTGAACCATTGACTTATGTGACTGTTAGTGCCTTCAAGAAAATAATTAAAGAACTAGGTGAAGGAAATAAAAACTTTTCTGCAGTATTTCTTAAACAAAATCAGTTAAACTAATTCAAATGAATTTCAAAACGGTTTCTCATAATTTTATCCCGTTTCCACATTTTTTATTTTCATTTCAGAGATGAGTGATGCAGTACCTCAAAAGCCTGCTCAGTCCATACTTGAAGATCTTCAGTCAAAGTATGAGCAGGTTGAGACTTTACTGAAGAACAGCGCGAGTGATCCGCCAACGGAACCTCACAAGTCCAAGTATGCTGCTGAAGTGATTTTAAAAGAATTGAAATCTTTGCTTCAAGATGCTAAAAACGAACAAATCGATGACTATGAGACAATTCTGGGCTATGTCTACTTACAATTAGGTTTGATTGCCATTGATACAGATGAATTATCGAAAGGTGAAGAAAGCTTAAAAGATTGCTTAAATCTCGTTGAAAAAAATGCTTCCTCTCCTAAAAACATCTTAATTGTCATCAATGCTTTAAATAATTTGGGAATTTTGTGGTCACAAAGATCTGACCCAAACAAATCATTTGAATATTTGTCCAAAGCTGAAGAATTTTACAAGGACTTCACTGCAAATTGTTCGGAGAAGGTCTTAGGCATCGCAGAGATAATAAATTACAAGAAAGGCTTGAATGTTCCGCCTGTTGAAAATATCTCTTTAGAGAAACTTCACACTGCAACATTGCAGTATTTAGCAGAGATTCATTGGGTTTTGGGTCATGAGGTAAAATCGGCTGTGTACTGCCACGAGACGTTGAAACGACAACTTGAAAGCAACGATTATAATGCGATCGAGTGGGCTCTTAACTCAGCAACCCTAGCTCAATTTTTCCTGAAAAAATCTGGTTTTACTCAGGCAAGAAACCATTTAGCTGCTGCCTCTTACATTTTAGAACTTTATGAAGCGGAACTGAACAAGCAAGAAGGAAGCACAGAAGAATTGGAAGCTAAGTAAGTGATGAAATGGTTTCCCTTTTGATTCATTATTATAGTTATGAGTAATGATAACAAAGTACTTCGACGGTGTAAGTCGGCAATCTCATACCTATGTTTGCAACGTCGCAGACTTCTCGTCATACTTCATTTTTTTAAACGGAAAACTACTCAACAGCAATTCTTTAAAACTGCCGTGGTTTTTCTTCTCTGTGTGTAGAAAATTTTGCAAAAACTTCAAGGAATGATGTCAGTTTGTTCTCCCTTAAAAAAATAACATAGAGCGGATATTTTTGGACACCGCGAACGAGATATGTGATTGCAGACTTACGCTGTCGACTTATAACTTTTGATATTGACGGCTAAACTACAAATCTCCATTTGTGTTGTTACAGCCTCCCTGTCACACTTTATTTTTCAGTGAAAAACTAGTGTTCATAATTCCTTAAAACTTGATGACTCCCTGATTTTTCTTCTCTGTTGACAGAATACATATTCTGTGTACATTTCAAGTTATAAAGTAAGATATAGTAGTAATATTCCTCTTTGAAAAAGAAAAAGAGGAACGGAAATTTTGGAATATCGCAATGGAGGTATGTAGTTTTGCACTTCGGCCATTGACATTTATATAAAGGTGATTCACCCTAAATGAGTGCACGTACTCTGTCAACAGTTTTCCTCTCCTATTCATAAAAAAGTGGAGTGATGAGTCCTGAACCAGGTCCTGGAGGTTTTTTTTTTACTCTCCAGGAATGAGGCTGAATATTCCACCAGAAAAGTCTCATGGTTAGACATCGCCAATTTTTGGTTCTGTTAGCCAATTTGAGGCTGTCAATTCAAAGAGGTAGCCTTTACATGACAATGGTCTAGCCCCTGCTGCATTAGGTTGCGTGCTTGCAGTGGAAAGAAACACATCCCCATGTAATTTACAGGAAGAGAAAACAAGCAGAAAAATCCAACATGAATATGTTGGAAAAGCGTGCCGAATAACTAAAATGTTGGACACATACCTACTATTTTCACGTCTTTGTTATTTGCATCAATTGGTACTTTTTGCTAAATTTGGGAGAAAATATTGATTCATGAACGTTGAATGTAAATTGATTTAAAGATTCCGTCCAATTATCTTGATTTTAAGCTGATATGCGGCATTTTGCACGACCGTGATTTGGGCGAACTGCCGTGCTACGAAATCGCGTTGAGTTACTCTCTTTGGATTTCGAACTGTAACTTCTCTCCTATTCGGCCGATTTTTACAAATGAGGTCTCTTTTTATTTGTACTTTAACGGAACGTAAGGAAAAACTCGCTAAATAGACGGAAAACAATTTTTGTGAAAATTTGGTGGATCCTGGCGTCACGGTGAATGGTTAATCGGGCGTGGAAGATAATAGGTTCGACGAGGCGACCCTCTCCTCGCCGTCTTTTATTGCCTTGCTCGAAACCTGACACCCAAAGCTATATCGGGAGATAACTGCAGTGGTTTGAGTGGATTTCTGCAGGGGCCACGGTTAGTACATGGTATAAAGAGTCACGAGGCTCATCACAGATTGCACTTGCAGTGCAAGACGCTCATTGGCTAAACAGTTTTGGCGGGAAAGAAGGTTCTAGAGTTGAGTCCTCCGAGCGTAAGGAAGCTTCTATGAGGTTTTTGTCAAATGAAATAATACGGTTTTGACAGGAAAATGTTCTCAAGGGTTCCCAATTAGCAGTTCATTCGGTTTTTTGGTAAGAGACCATCAGGGCTTGACAGTATAATGGTTCAAAGACAAGAAAACGGGTCCGAGGAAAAAAATATTTGGACGGCCTGTTGAATAGCATTGGTTGATCGGTGTGCTGTACTATGGTACATCCGAGTGATTTCAAGAAGCGAGCCCTACTGGCACGCTTAAAAAGTTGTTTCTAATAGACTTTAGTTTCTCAGTTCAATCTTAGAATTTAGTTGGCAGGATTTGGTTCTTGTAGCCCATTGATTATTTATGATGATAATTAGTGTACAGGTTCTCGTTATTGAAATGAGCTTAGCTTTTTTTTCTTGCCTCATTATTAGTAACTCTAATACAGAGAATGTGAGTCTCTAGGTCATATCTGATGAAGCACCAAAGTGTTGAGAAGCCTCACCTCTTTATGTCAAATTTTAACCACTATTTTGAACTTCTTTCATCAATCGGTCTATCAGGTGGAAAAAATCATGAGCCTGTTTGGAGAAAATTATAAAATTTTGGAAGGAAAAAAGTAAGTCGTTACTCCTTTTTACTTTTAAAAATAAATAAGTTTAATCAATATGAGCCCCAAAAATGTAGAATATGTATTAACTTTTAATTTTAATTACCTCTGTGAATTCACCTGAAAATGTCTAATATTACAGTTAATAACGTTGTTTGTCATAGAAAAGAAGTGTTGAGATATCGAAGTGCAGATGTTGCAAGATGTTGGGCAAAGTATGGACTCATCTTACTATCATCTTCCAAAGATCGCCTACTAGAATCAGAAGAGCATCCGCAAGAAGATTACCCAGGTTTGTTTGCTCTAGTTTTTTGCCACCGAAAAGGAGGAAATTTACATCAGACTTTGATCATCCACTCAAATTTATTTTTTGTGAATCTTTTTGTGCCCCTGTAACAGAGACCAACTTGATGATGCTAACAAAATTAAGGTGAATCCACACTGGCAGTAAACAAGACACTATGACACGAAACGACTTTTGTTAAAATACTGATTTTACGCTGATTTTTTTTTGGAGGGGGGGGGGAGGAATTGGATAAATTACGTCTAGAAGCACACTTTAGTTGTGCCGCTTAAAAAATCAATTTTGTAAATCTTTAAATGAAGCTAAATATATGCAAGGTTAGTCAAATGGAACGGTTGATTTTTGAATTTACACTCTAAGGTGTCCAAAAGAGATTTTGTTGGAAAAAGCTTGTGTTGTTTATGTAGTTTTAGAAGTTATAGACCCGTTTTTTGCCAAAATCTAAAGTGAAACCAATATTTCATCAAAATTTGTCTGCGTACTCCTACCTGCTATCGATTCATTTCAAGGGAAAGTAAATAACTTAGGAAAGGTTGGAAGTTGCCTTGCCTGTGCATGCTAAGAACTAGCATCTTCTTTTCACGGCTGTAGTTTTCATAAAATTGGTCACTAGACAAGGCCTCAAGTAGGAAAGGACATCACGTGTTTCCTCTTTAAAATCTTAGGTTGAAACTTATTCACCCAACAGGGAGTTTGATTATCAACTCCGGAATGAGATATTTACAAGGAAATATCTTTAACACAGCTCAGATGAATGTAAGACTATACAAATTACATCATTTGTCTTTTTTTAACCAATGTTTATTATATACATTGTTTAGGAGTTAATTTCCACGCTTCCATTTGTGTAAGTCGTTTTCTGCATAAAAGTTTGTAGAGAAAATAAGTAGTGAAGTTCCTTAATTCATACTTTGTCTGATAACCTACTATTCAAATAAAATTCAAATTCAGTTATGAATGAATTGATACAAAAAAATCAATTCGCACCAAAATAGTGTCAGCATTCAACTATGGTTTTATCAGTAAGAGAGTTCGTTTAAATTTTACCATTATTTTTCTTGGTTCGTTATCTCTGTTTTTTGGTATTTTTTAGATGAGTTGAAAGTCCTCAAATTCAGCTCTATAGATCTGTCACTTTACGAGTCTCAAGTCACAAATCAATACATTTTGATGTTCGAAGATGCAAGGCTTGTATTCATGAATGTGCGACTTTGGTTGAAGAAAGCTGAAGAATATTACACACTGGAGGACCATGCCTCTGATTATGCGCAAATTGTTCAAGACATGAGTGAGCTGTACAAACTTTTAGCTTTTTACGAGGATGATGAAAGCAGGTATATCACTTTTTAAACCATACTTCTCAAAGAAAATGATTCCATCTTTCTATCTTTGTAGAATATATTATTCAGTATATTTTTAATTATTTTTTCTTCTGATTTTTACTCGTTTGAATACTTTAGTTATTGTCGAATCTTGACTTAAGGAAATACGGAGGAAGAAATCAGGACAACAAAAACTGAAAATTTAATAGACACTTTCCTGTTCTGCATCATCAAGTTTCAGTCATTGATCTCGATAAAAATCATCTTTATTGACCAAAATTAACTTACTTTCTCAAATCCAAGCAGGTAGTGTTTATGAAAAGAGAATCAAATGTATTAAAATGTTGGCGAAATCGTGAAATCTCTTCATTTCAAAAGAACCCGAAATTTTTAATGGCTATCGGTCTTTTGTTGAAATAAATTTAATACTCCATCATCTTTGATTCCCTTCAGGTAAGTAATTAAAATGTTCAAGTGCTCAGTCAGTTTTATATTCATGCCTCAGTTTATAAAGTGGTGTTTTTTTCTTTACCATTGCAGACAATGTAAAATGCACAAAAGACAGATTGATTGTTTGGAAGAACTAGTCGGTAAACTTAATCCTCAGTATTATTTAGATATATGTAGGCAAGTTTGGTTTGAGCTTGGGGAAACATACGCAACCATCCTTTATGTCAAAGAGGCCCAGCTACAGAAAGAAAACTGTCCAAACCCTCAGTCACTGAAAAAGTGTAACAATTTAGCCGACCAGTCCATAAAAAATTATAGTAGCTTCATCAACTCTTTCAAAGATCGGTAAGTAGTGTTTATAGTTAGACTTTTTAAATCAAAATTTTTATTTTAAAAAGGCCTCTTGAGTTTAAATATTCCAAAAGCATACCATAGATAATGGAGATGTGAGCTGAGGCGAAGAAAAATAGTTTTATTGGAATCATCATTTTGGTACCAGCCTCCTTTTGCACATCCTACGCTTCTAAACGTTTGCCATTTAATTTCATCGAAAATTAAGTTTTGTAGAATTTACTCATGACATAACTGCATTGCTATAACCTCCAAGCAAAGACTTGAGGGTTCATAAAAATTAGGAGTGTGTAACAATTATTTCCAACAACAAAATTTTCAAGACTTTAACTCTTTTTCTAGGACTCAAAATTTGGCGGCAATGAGTTTCTGAGGATGGTATTTCTGATTTCGGACTTCTCGTTTCTCTTTGTATTTTCTTTTTTTACTCATTGTAAACTCATTCGGTGAATCATGTACCTGTGTTCGCTTATGGTCTAGAGTTTACAACAGGAAAATTGACGACTGGAGAGTGGGGTTAGGGATTGGCTTAGGGTATTGTTTAAGCGTTTAAACGCAGGAATAATGACACATTCAAAGGATCTCAGCTCGCCGTAGCAAATCAACCTTCAAACAGCAGATGAAGGCGCTCACCTGACTCTTCCCCTCGGCTGCCTTTTTTTTGTGTTGTAGACTATAATTTTGAGTTATGAAGAATAAGTATGAGTTTATCATTTTCTCCATCCTCTCTACAGCATCGAATATTATTTTTCATGTGTACTTTTCCATTTTCAGAAGTGATCAGCTACCCGAGAAGTTTGATGATAATTGGGAAAGATCCGTTTTGCTAGCGCATTTTTATATAGCCAGAATGCTGAGCAAAATTATTACTGTTGATCGTCAGTTGCGATTTGATAAAACAAAGGAAAGTCTCAACTACTACAAGGTAATGTGAGATTCTTACAAATTCGAGATTTCCCAATGTCTCCCTTCAGCATCTTCTAGAGCTTGCATCAGATAAGTTGGTAACTGTTTACTTTTGACCGTTGGGCGCCAAAGAACAATTTTCGTACCTGTTCATGGCAACGTCCTCAACCTCATCCAATCCTCAATTTCCTCTGAATGAAAGCGATGCAATTACTTGCAATTAGAAAGTAAATCGTTGCTAACTTTGCTGATGCAACTTCCATGTGCATAACAAATAGCTACCGATATCTCGAGGGGCTGATTCATGAACTGTCACCTCTCCGCAAAATCTAGTTTCCCACCTCAATTTGGATGGGATAACCTATTTTTTTACCTTTCTGGCCTAATTAAACATGCAGTTAGATGAAAATCTAATTTTTGCTAGTTAGTCTTGAAAATCCTCCATCTTGTAACTAGCTTATTTTGTCAATGGAAATCATAGAATTTGCGTCATCACTGTGGCGCATGCGATTTATACCAGAGTCTGCCTCTGAGTATCTTTATCATCAGTACTGAATTAATTATGATTTTTATAATTATTTTTTCCTTTTTGCAGTTTGTTGTTGATTATGCAGAAAAACATGAGACGGCAGCTGGTGTAGTCGGAACTGAACTCGGTGTTGCTCGTGACATGGTCAAACTTTTGCCCTTGAAGCTAGAGAAGATGCTTGGGTCTCCAGATGGTGGAAGTTGAAAAGAGTAATTGTCTCTGAGACGAACCTTATGGCTTAGGGTTCAGCTGTGGAAAAATGTGTGCTGTAGTTTTCCATGGAAATTCATTCCCTCTCACATTTGATTACCTAGCTAGTAAATTGAATTTTCTTTTTGCTTACTATGTGTCAGGGCACTTTGACAAGATTCCATTACTTTATGGGTAGAGACACCTCATAAACTTAAAATAGGGTTTATTCAATTGTGTTTGAGAATTTAAATAATTTATTGTTTAAATTATTTTAACCCTGCAGGAAGACGAGATATTTTATGCTGTTCTACATGAATATCCTGAAGAAGTATTCATAATCTTGAAAAGTAACTGCAAACTGTTTTTAACATGCTATCTCGTCTCCCCTCTCTCCTGCATCCTGCGAGTGTTCAGCTAGATAATTTTCTCTTAGAGCCATATCAGTTTTTTTGCATCATTTCTTGATCAAATCAACTACTTCATGAGTAACCGAGCCCAATTTGGCAATAATTGAACTAAATCCATTAAATTCAAAAACTCGGGCGAATCCTCCAACGTTTTCAATCACCGAAAAATCCTTGCTAACTAAAGTAGGCAACGGATATGATCGATTGCTGGAAAAAAGTTGTGACATGTGTTCACCTTTTTTCACTGAAGTCTCAATTGTATGTCAACATGACTGTGGTCAACGGCCCGATTATTGAAACTATGTCAGCCCGACACGACAAGACATAGCCCTGTCTCAACCATGCAATATATCGCAATTCGATGTCTTATCGGGCTGGTTTAAATTTCAATAATCGGCCTGCTGGCAACAAGCCACAGATATTGTTTTTTTGGTTTCAGAATTGTGTAACTCCCCTAATTTACTAGAAAGGTCGTAGAATTCTGCGAAAAAATTTTCCTTATACAATAAATTGTTATAATTCAACTTTTTTCGTTAGTTTTCATTATGCCCGAAACATTTAAATTTCCCAAATGTTAATCAGTGTCCCATAAAAAAAACTTCAACAGTTTTAAATGTTTGAGGAATCTCTCAGGAGCAAATGAAGAATAACATAGAACTTGTGCTTCCGCAGATGTACGGGGATTATGTCAGACACTATACCGTTTAAAAACCAATCGCCGGCTTAAGATGATATTGACGCTTCCTATCAAAATGAAGCAAATTTCAGCCTAATTCGTTTTCTTTGATTTAACCCCTCCTTAAAAAGGTCTCTAAATTCAAAGGATTTAGGACTCTCTCTAGGGGAGAAAAAAAGTGTATTATCCTACTTCATTATGCATGTTAAGGAATACATCAGATTGGCAGCTAAATTTGTATCTTTATTCATTCCAATTTTTGTAACACTTTTGATTTATTAATTCAACAAAACTAAAAATAAGACAAAAACTTCAAGTCAAATCTATCCAAAAAATTTGTTTAATTAAGTTAAGCAATCTTCAATAGATAAGTTGAACCAAGCAAAGTGGCATTTGAAAAATTAACAATTCATAAGTTAATTATATAATTTAAAAATAAATTAAAGAATTAATACTTTCACGGTTACAGGGCGTACTTTTAGTTTCAGAAAACTTGATGGTTTTCTATGAGATTCAGATGGAAAGATGTGCAGAATTACTCTCTGCTGAGAGAGCAACACTATTCCTCCACTCATAAATTCACTTTACGTGTTGATTTTTCATTTAACCATTTCACATCTATGTTTTTATGATGCGCGGTCTAAATGCAACTTCTACAATGGTTGTTTTCACTTAATACTTCCGCAAAAGCAGCGTTAGTCATTTTGACATCATGAGAAGACAAAGTAGCTGATTCTGAGTATTTGCTTGACTTGTGCAGCATCAACCAAAGAATTTACCGTCAAATAATTTTAAAATCAGTTGAAGCTTCATGTCTAGCAAGATGACCAGAGCTCAAGGCAACATCCAAAAACATACATAGCTGCAAAATGTTGTGGCAGTTAATGCGCTAACCACTTTTTTGAGTAACTTCCATGATACAGACATAGAGACAAATTAAATTAAAATAATAATACGCAGTATAAAGTCTTAAGAAATCCAAAGATAGATAAATAGTTTTGTAAATAAGTTAACAAATAAACAATGGAAGAAACCTAAATAAAATCACAGATAACGAATGTGGTTGGTAAGAGCTTCGCAAAATTATTTACCGGGACGGTTTGGCTAATTTGCATTCTCTACCGCACTTAAAACTGGGGCTGTAATAAATAAAATTGAGCACACATGAGTATTATATGACTCAAGAAATACAAGAGATTTTCAAATAAAAGATTAGTGAGAGCTAAAACATTATTTAAGAAGAAGGGATCTATTTCTATCGAGAGGTTTTCAAGGGCCAAGTAATACGAAAGAATTTTGGTCGACTTTTAGACCTCCACTTGTAAGGCATAAAGGAGGCTCTTAATCCCCTCTTGAATTACATAAGACTTGTCTAACCCTCTTCCTCGCCTAAATTTTTCAAAAAATAATGGAGCAAGCCTGGAAATTAGCTTAAAAAAATTATTTTGAATGGGAAATAATATTTTAATTTAAAAGAGGGAGGACTTAGGTAAGACTGCGCCTGACCCCCTCTCCCCCCATTGTAAGACAAACTGAGAACCCCTCCTTCCTAAAGTGGTCTGCGTGATATTTGAATGCCCCAATGTCAGATTAAAGTAAATCTTCACTAATAATGAACAAAATGCAAAGACAAATTAACAGTTTGTGTTCGGTTTCACCTACAAAATGATAATCATTAGAAATCCAATCACAGTGATGAACCCAGGAGCAATAAGCACCGCACTCAAGTTCCACCTACGGTACACTTTTTTTTTGGTATTTTTTTGACCCGTTCAATCCTACAGTTTGTCTTTGATAATATTCCGTTTTTTATATTACTTCGATAATGTGACTTAATAATCAAGGATAAGGCTAAAAACTTATTACAACCAGAATGTTTAAGGTAATTACAGCCTTCTTTCTAAAAAAAAATATTGAGGTATGTCAATAGGTGACTGCACCTTGCTTGTCCTTTCCACTAAAATTGTCCACTTTTCTAAAATTAAAAAGATTTAAGAAACTCAGGAGCTATCTGATAAGTCTAGAAAAACAGCAACTCAATCCGAGTAATTGTTTTTTCCCCGCTAATAGTCCTCTGCTGAAAATGACATAGGTGCAACGAGCTCAGGCATAAATATTTGGGTCCGCTTGTATTCTACCCAGCATTGTTGGGTATATTCTTAGCTTCAAGAACATAATTGCCTTCTAAAAATCTGATAATTTTTGTTTAAGGATGAGAGAGGGGCAAAGACTTACTGAGCAACCTTTTTGTGCAGAAAAGTGAAAAAGAAATAAAATTACAAGTACGCTGTTGCTCTGCTTGTAGGAGACTTGAACATATAAAAATAATGCATATCAATTTAATGTTAGGCTCATGAATTTTACAAATGGGCCTGTTGCAAACTTTTGCTAGAGCAAAAATAAGAGTTGTTTCTTATAGATAATGCCTCAAAAATCACGATGAGCGCATCGGCAAAGTCTGAAATGCACTCATAACTTCACAATCTGCGTAAGAAATTTGCGTTTTTTTAAGCTTCCCGCTTCAAAAACGATACTACGGCATCGGTGAACATTTTGTTAGAGGAGTCGCTCCATCGTCGGCGATATTCATCATGGCCGACGCTTACACGCAGTTCCGCGCGTAATTCAAGGAGAGTTCAAGGTCAATCAATTCGGGCGTGGAAAATATGAACGTTAACACACCAATTGTTATCCGGTCTAATCCAGTTCAGGTGTTATCTCGTCCCATCAAACGTGTTTTGGCGGATTGGCGTCGGCTATGATGATTATTGCCGACAATGGAACGACTCCTCTTACAAAATGTTCACCTGTGCCGTAGTATCGTTTTTGAAGCGGGAAGCTCAAAAAACCGCAAATTTCTTACGCAGTTTGTGAAGTTATGAGTGCATTTCAGAGTTTGCTGATGCGCTCATCGTGATTTTTGAGGCATTATCTATAAGAAACAACTCTTAGTTTTGCTCTAGCAAAAGTTTGCAACAGGCCCATTAATATTTTTTTTCAAAATAATTGGTGAAAAAATTAATTATTTTTCTTTGAGGCTAAATCCTTTCGAAAACAGAAGGACAATAAGTAAAGAAGGATTACATACCCTCTGGTACAGGAAACATTTAACTTTCCGAAAACATCTGCCAGACTATCAAATGACTTTGCTCCTGCCGGCTGAGAGGACCTGCCTCTTTTTCTGCCATTAGCTTCTCTTCAGAGCTATCTGTTGATTCACCTAGAAAATAAATTAAAGCCAAATGTAACTCAAGTATTTACAAATTAGAAAAATAGTAAACCACCTCCAGAAACATGCAATTTCTCGCCGAGACGGTGAAATAAAGAATTCTACTCCAGTGTCAAAATAGTGAATTTAATACGGAGCTCAACTTACTACAGAGCTAAAAACGGGCATGCGAAAAATATTGCGGCAATAAAATAGTTTGCAAAAAGTATAAAACAGCTGAGGCTATCTGAGCAAGAAAAGTGCACTGTGCTCACTGGATAAAAATTTGTGTAAAGGTTTTAATTGAACTCTGAAACTTTCAAGTAGAAAATCCAAAAGCCAGATATAATTTTTACAAAAGCTCTTTGCGATCAAGCATTGATTTGAGTGATGATAAGCACTGATCAGCTATGATCTGAGAGCACTGGGCATTCTTTTGAAAATAAAGTATACAAGATGGTTGACTATTTTAAAAAGGTTATTTTTCTAAAAATAATAAAATTACCATTTTGAAGCATACAAGAAACGATTAAGAGATAGGTATTGAATTATGATTTTGGCACATCTGAAATATTTTCATGGTAAAGCTGACAAAACAGCAATAAATACTCGATAAATAAAACAAAATCAAATATAACAGAGAGCAGTTGAATTGGTTGAAAAGAGGAAGCATATATCCTCTTTACCTCATCTTTCTCTGAATGCTGACATTTTTTATCTTGCTCTGATTCAGCAGGAAGACAATACCAATTTGTTATAAAAACTGAAATAACGGTAAACTGAAACAACAAATTGTATGTTGGACTAAACTGTAAGAATATCATAAAAATAAATGTGTCCAACTTAAACATATACTCCTACAAGTTTCTTGACGATTATTAACCAATAAGTCATGCGTAAAATATAATGAGATAGATCAGTGGTTGTTTGCTGAAATAGTGGCATCATACATAACAGTACTTTGTGTCATTAAAAGCTAATATTTTATGCTGAAAGTCAATCATCAATAAAAGGGTGGATAATAGTTTCCAAACAGCTTGAAAAAAAAAATTTTGATGCAAGTAAAATATCCCAAAAAAGCGTTTGTATTTTCAAAGATATTATGGACCTAATTAATCATTAGGCAAGGAGAAGGTTCGTTACTGGTGAAAGGACACAATTTTTAAAATTTTTTCATTATCAAAATTTGATATTTTCAGTTTTTTTGTAACCACCCTTTTACGAGAGATCCTTTCAAGTGAATTTTGAGCTCTACAGGTTAAGCTGCAAAAACAGAGTTGCGAGAAAAAGGGTTGGAAGAAAGTTTGCCAGAAGACCTAATATCGACCACCGTTTAACCGGAATAGTAGGTTTAGATTACCATGAAACTTGCCAAATAATCAAATGGGCGGCAGCATCAGGAGCTTCACTGTAATCTTCAACTATATAATTCACGAAACAAAAAAAGGTGGAAAAACCTAAATTAGCACCATATGCGGAGGCTATGCAATGTGATGAATTATGGATTAAACATCACTGAATTTATCTAGACTCCTGATTCCCTCTCATGGTTTTTTTTTAATTTTTTTTTTTTAAATTAGACAACATATTATCGTCTTGAAACTTTCTTTAAATATTCTTTGCAGTAGAAAGAGTAGACTCAAAAATTTTTTAAACTGGAACACTGCTAAGATTTCTGTTAAAAAGATAAATAAAATATAAGAAAAAATTAGACAACGTCTGATATACCTAAGCTGATCATGGTTAAAAATCTGTTCAAATGTTTAGTTACGTACAGCATTATGGATGTGTTAATAGCCAATAAATAATAATTTCCATTGAAAATAGGAAGAATTTTAGCCAGGACGATAAACAAAATCAACGGAAAGAGAGCATTTTAATTCATTTACGCTTATAGTTAGTTCGGAATTTACACTCATTCTAAAATTTCTAGAAAGTAAGCCTTAAATTAAGTGTAAATTTTCCGCTTGTTTTTATAAACACAGGCTGGAAATTACGTCACTGAAATTTTAGACATGTCGAAAAACTGTGTTCAAGGAAGTACTAGTAGAATTCTTTAAGTAAAATTTATTTATCCTGCAGAGACATAGACGTGCCTTTGAAGCCAGGCTCTTGAGAGCCCTAATTAAAAAACATGTGCCTAAGATCAATAAGGGAGCCACAACCAGAGAAAACTCCCTGTTGCAAAATGAAAAAGGAATTGATAAAATCAACAGGAATATGTCACGTGTTATGCAACATTTTCTTCCAAACTCACCCTGAAACAGATTTTTTGCTATCCTTTTCTCTCTCATTTTTTCTGTCTCATTCTAGGTTCCAACTTGTCAAGCATTCTAGGCCTCAGGCCGATGCTTGTACATAATCAGATGCATCATCTCATCTATTTAATATCTTTTTTATCTGTGCACTGGATGGCTGGTGCAATACTGCCTGAGAGTTGCCTTTTCTCGGCCTACGTGCCCTCTTCCGTTCACCAGGAACTGCACTTTGCGTTGACCATTTCAGCTGTGACTACATGTCCTCTCTTGAGCTCTCGCAAGTCATTATCAGATATTTTACCAAAAGCCATTATTTCCATTATTCTGTAATCCAGTGTTGTGAGTGAGGTATGTTGTGTAATCTCAACAGATTTTCAGTGTTATTCTTCTACATCTGCTCTCTCAACAACTAATATTGACTTTCGCTCTCCCAGAACTTAAATAACTATCCGCTATTTCGAGCCTGTGTTGCCCGATCTCATACTGGACAGAATGGTTTCGGCATTCAAATATGTATTATAATAATACATTGTTAAGACTTTAGAGTAAAGAAAAGGAACGAGAGATTTTGGAGGCTTTGATTTTTCAATTTTAAGAATATAAGAGGTCTTAAGAGCTTACCAATTCTGAAATCAATATAGCCCTCTCCTCCAGATAAAATGAGAACAGATGAGTGACCGCTAGAACACAAAGCGGAATCGAAAGGCAGCTTGCTGTCTTCTGAGCTAGATTTGGTGTTGCAACTTCCGAGACCTGCAATAAACATGAGTCAAGATTGAAAAGTGACTAATCTTTAGTTGGATTAAATGTCTAATGCAGACTAACAAAAATAAAAAGAAAAGAACAATTTCTGAAATTCTGACGGCAAAAATTCAGTGATTATGGGTCAATGGGTTTTCAAACCATGACCCATTTTAATGACCGTTTTAAAATAACGTTTGTTTCTTTGGGACCTCCATTTTGCGTCCGATTTCTATTTCATAAGCTCTTCTTTAAGCCCTCGAATTACACTGATTCAATTGTTTTCTGTCTGGAAAGGAGGATACCTCTATTTTTTATTAGAACGCCTGATGAGATTTCTTACACTAATTTTTGCTGCTAAAGCTTTAAATGACCTCAGTTTTCTTCAATCACCTACCAATTTTTCAGAAAATCGAATTTACCAAAAAGATGCCTGTTATGGCAACTAAAAAAGGGTACAACCATCAGTAATGTTACACTTGATAGAGAACATGCTGAAAACTTGCTTCTGAACAGGAGCAGAAGGTAAAATTGCCATGAAAGGAACCACTGAAGCAATTAACATGTTGAAGAGTTGCAGTTAGAAGCCAACCTCTGGTCCTTGCTTTGGGTTTTATTCAGAGGAGATGAAACATTTTTAGAGTTAACAAATTTTGGATAGCAACTTCTTAGGTGAAACCAAAAAAGAAGAAAAAAATCGAAAATCTTACCAGGTACTGCGACGAAAAATTTCACAGCATCGCGATGACCGTGAAATGATAACTGGGCTTGCGCCATGTTGCAGTAGGGTATAAAGGAAGAATTTGATGTTGGACAAGTAGAATCAACGCTCATTGTTGTTGTATCGTCTACTTCACTACAAGATGACACATCACCAGTAATTTCTGAAATGAAAATGGTTTTTATTTTCATCAAGGAAACAAAGAAAACAGTAGCAAGGGAATATCAGAAACAGGTGATGAGAAAGCAAAAATAGCTGTGCACCTCTTTAACTTGAATTCCTTTCAAGCTGGAAAAAAACAAAATTTGGCTGGAATCTTAGTTTGGAATTAATAAAAAAATATAAAGAAAAAATGTATGAAGTAAAAAAATTTTGACAGCTGGCCTGACACAATATTACTGGAACAATGGTCTGGAATGCCTGTTCATTACAACTATCATAGAGAGATAAAAAAGTTCATTTGGAGAGATGGAAACTTTTTTGAATTACAGAAAATGATGATTTTCCACACGCACAGACAAAAAATTAAAAAACGTAAGAGGTTGCTAAATGTGACAAACATAGAGATATTACAATATGTTTTCAGTAAGTTTTTCCCGTGTGAGATAATATCAGTTTCCAGAGTTTGATTTTCCAAGGAGCAACGCATAAAATAATGATGACTGACATCACTGTTACAACGGTTTGGAAAAACAGAAAAAAGCCTTACCATTGCTGAGAGGGACAGAAATGATGACACCATTTCCAGTACCTATCCACAATCTTTGACAACTCACAAGCAATGCAGTTATTCTGACTAATGAAAATCCTAGTTTGCTAGTACCTGTAAAATATAAATTGACACTAAAGTTGATAAATTAAGTGGATACATATATGTATACACGGAGTTCACATTTTAATTTTTAAAGAATCAACATTACATAAGTACTTTATTTCCAAAACACAAGGTGAACATGGTATGTTTGACAAATGTAACTTACAGCGACTACCAAAAGGATATAAACCTGTGAATGGTGATTATTTAAGGAAAAAGTATTACTACAATTGAGTTTTAGACTTAGCCATCCAGGGACCCATAACAACATATATATATATAAAGATTTATTGTTCAAAACTTTTACAAGTTACATGAAATGGCATACAAAATAAGGGATAAAATTAGCACCAACTACTAATAAAGATTGTATCAATGTGCATATGTTGACTATAAAATAAAGAAGTAAATAAACTTTTAGATTGCACTATGCGTTTGATTTCGTGGCTGTACAAATTGTACATTAAACTATTTGGTAAAATAAATAAACAAAACCCAAATATGTGACAAGAGGTGGGATTAAAATATAAGAAAAACCCTGACTGCATTAAGGATGCTAAGAAAACAATAAGAAGAACTAATAAAAACAAATAAAGAAGCTAGAGGGAGAGAATTCTGACACACTATTTCTTACACAACATGTGTTACATTTTTACTCGCTGGGTAAAAAAAATAAGAAAAAATCCCACATTAATGATTGATTAATGATCCAGGAAAAAAGATCACAGTAAGAAGATGGTGATCAAAAACCTGATGAAATTAATGTAGACTACAGGAAAAAGCCGATGGTCGGTGAAAATCTGAAAACTGTGGGTGCATTTGGCGCCCGCAGGAAGTGAAGAGGGCCCACCGCTTCATCTGGAATTTAACCTTGCATACAGAAGTTGAGCCAATTCGTCAGGTTCCAGGCTGCCCCCCCCCCCCCCCCCCCCNGCCAGGCCGATGGGTTTGTTTACTTGCGTGTTAAAGTGGCTCCCATCACGGAGAATGAGAATCCGACGGGGCTTGCACTGCACCCCAAAACTTTGATATGCGACATCTTATCTAATGGCCAGTAACTGTCTCTTATATAGTGATGATAACGAAGTCACACACACATTGAAGACAGTTATTTTCTACACTAATTCATTGAGGCCTGAGCCTGTGGCGCCTTATCAACCTTATCAGATAAGAGTTTGATTTCTCTGCGGTTACAGAGTTGGTAACTCCGAAAATTTGCCCATTTCTACAAAAAGATGGAAAATGTAACTTGCGATATCAAAGATACTTTTATTAGCAGGCACCTGAATCAGATACAAATGTATCGGAGCACAAATAACTTTCCACCGACACTACAAACCAGCAGGAAGCACAAAAGAAACCACTGGTTTCGAACGAAAAACGAGGGAGCAGCCGCAAAGCGATGTGCTTGCCGTGATGGCTAGAACGCGACTCAAAGAATCAACATTGAGGAGAGGAAATAAAGAATCAAGGTTTTCTTTCTCAATAGCATAAAAAATTACCTAAAATTTTCTTAAATCTACGTTTGTTATAAATATGCTTGACTGTAATTACATCACACAAACATACACTAAGCTATTTGTGCAGTATTCTCATAAGTAGTGATAAGATCTTTTGATGCTGAATTGTGAAAAAAGAATAAACTTACCTAACATTTTATTTACGTAAGGTTCTATGTCAACATCTTGTAGATGTTCTAAAGTTTGTGCATGGTAAAGGCGCAGAGTTGAGTCCAATCGAATTGAAATCCAAACCCCATTCCCTTTCCACACCATTTGGCGAATCTGACTATCTTTTCTTGGATGAGCAACGAACGAATTCTGAAAAAAGTTTAAACATTGAGTTGTCAAAGAACTCGAACATATTTAAAAAATGCTGGGACTTTATTTTTTTATCTCATTTGAAGGAAATCCGCATGGCTCGTTCCACTTCAGGATCTACACAGGAGAAATGGATGTTTCAAAAGAAAAAAGAAAACCGTAACAGAAATGAGGAAGCTGAGGTTATGTCTTGACCAACTGACCAAGGGTGGATACCAAGCAATGGTATTAAGTATCCAGTAGGATTGCGATAGCATCAATCACCACTTCAATTTAAAAAAAAGGTGCACAAGCAAAAAATGGGAACTAATCGGATGGAATTGTATGTATATCGATGGCCAAAGTGTGAAACTACATACCTCCTTTCTAGTGTTTTAAAAACTCCACTCCTATTTTATTTTTGGGTAGAGAAACAAGCCAACATCATCTTAAATTTATATGGAATATTCCTCTAACAGAGAAGAAAAATCAAGGAAGTTTTCAAGAAATTACTTCGACTACTTTTCTAAAGAAAATATAAAGTATGACAGGAAGTCTGCAGCATCAAAATTGAAGATACATGGTTTCACACTTTGGCCATCGATATGTTGAAAGAGATACCTGGTGCAGATGAAAAAACTCAAATTTTTGCAGGTTCTAGTGACGTAAAAAGACTTCAGCTCTCCCAAATCTGTCTCAGCTTTCTGTATTCTACAGATTTGACAAGAAGGGAGCATTATGCTATCTGGTTTTTTTGGTTATAAAATTGAGGAAAAATCGATCCCAAGTTTTTGTTAGGAAGATGGAGGGGTTGCTTACCAGGCTCTTTCACTTTCGTTTAAGCTTGGATTCAAGTTTAAATTCTATTTCTCTGCATTAAATCGTCTGTGCATATTCAACTTACTGGTTCTAGCATGTTTAAATCTCTTGAGAGGTTTTTAAGAGGAGCTAAATCTTTTTGTCTAGAGTCATGTTCGTTAACCATGTCTGTTTACTTACAACAGAACTCTACACATATCTTGATTTACAGAATACAAATCAAAATATAGCAAAGCATGAAATCTAAACTTTTGAGTCCTGTTTTTTTAATATAAAGGAAGTAGAAGTAACAGTGTTCTATGTAAACCTTACCGTTATGACTAGAGTAACCGGGTCAATAATATGGACCACGTTTTTGCTTGCAGCCCAAACAAAACCATTAACATTTAACAGGCATCTGACGGAGTGCTGAGGTGGACCTAGCACCAGCAAGAAATATTCGTTCAAATTCCATTTACCACTGCGATTTCTCCTGAAAACAGCCACTGTTCCATCAGCAAGAGCACAGAAGACTCGATTGTTGGCATGCCTGAAACAATATCACCGAACGTTCAGATTTGGCATGAGACTACCATTGGGGTTATGAATGACGTGTGCAGCTGAGTCAAAAAAAATTAGGCATGAAAAAATTTAAAGCAAAATCAAAATTAAAAAACTCACAAATAATATTTTACACCACATAAAACTCTCCTTAAATGAGTTTCCTGCTTGAGTGGTATCCATAAAAAACACTGCTTGATCCATGTTTAGAAAACACTGGCCACTTCCTCAAAAAAATATTGCGATTAAAATTTCAAATTTGCTGAAAAGTTTTAAGAACTCTCTCTGGCTTCAGAGTAATTCTTGACTGGCTCCTTTTCATGACTTTTCAGGACTCAGTGGTTTTGTACTTAAAACAATGGTCCAAATCGTTTAAAAAAGAGAAAGGTTTGAATTATTTTATAGATGGATTTAAAAATTACATGACGGAAAGACACTTCACTTACAAAATGTGTAGCACAGAATCTTTCAGTCGAACTGCATCGAGACACTGTTTCCAATTAGAGACTGCTGAATGAATGAAAATGCACCCACTTTTAGAACCAAGCCAGATGGTTTGCTGCATTGATGACAGATTTTCTGCATTCTGCTGCAAACTTACTTGAGCTGAAAAATAATTTCACATTTACTGAAAATAGGTACATGCTAAATCAGAATCTTTTGACGGTACAATAGAAATTTTAGCTCTCCACAAAATAGGCTTTTCAGATCATCCCTTTTTCAATCACAAAAATTAAGAGCAAGATGAATTCGAAAACGATAAGGTTGAAAATCTGCTCTTTTCAAAGAGGTTGTAGTTATTTTTGCACAAACAAGAATGTTTTCAGGAAATCTATTCGTAATCACTCTTGTGAAGAAAATAAGATATACATATTACTTTTTGCTGTTGTGAGGTTTGCAGGGTTTTTAGAAGAGCTCATGGAAGAGCTATGGAAAGTATTTCAAAGATAGTCTAATAAGTCTGTTCAGCTGAAAGAGGGTAATAATAAAAGTTAGTGGGATGCTCTTTCACGGAATATGGACTGATTTCATTTCCTGTCTGAACACATTGAGCGAAGCACTATCCCAACCTCTCTATATTTGTTTTGATATTTAATGCTTGCACTCAACGCTTTTGGATGAATGCTCTCCTTTTTCTTCCTTTTTTTATTTATTAATTTAATTATTTCTTTCTTTCTTTCTTGCTTTCTTCATTTATTTATTTCTTCCTTTATTTCTTCCTTCCTTCCTTCCTTCCTTCCTTCCTTCCTTCCTTCCTTCCTTCCTTCCTTCCTTCCTTGAGAATACTTTTTTCCAGACTCGAATTTTTATACAATCCCTTAAAGTAAGCAAAGCAAAAGACTAGACACCGAGTACCTAAAACTTTGGCCCCAGTTTAATTTCTACACTCAATGGGTGAGGGTCGGGTTCGCACAAGAACTTCGGTTCAGTTATAATTAAATGACTCACTTACACATTATACATCCAACCGAACAAAAAGAAGGAATGTGAAAGTGAGTCATTTAATTATAAATTTCTGCACCATTTTTTATGATGTTCCTCATGGCATCCGGAGCAGGATGAGTTTTTAAAAACTAACTTTTTTTGCGTCAATCTTGAGAAAATCAGAGGACCTTCTTCTTGCAGATGCTTAAATTACCTTCTAGTGATACAGCTTCTTTACTTTCAACTTGCTGAGCTTCTTTCATGAAGATAACTGTTCCGATTTCAGGTGTTTTGATATCTGTGCTTTCACTCTCTGACATGTTGGCGCTTTCAGTGACTCTTGGTGACTGATCTGCAATGTCATCGTATGCACTATCGGAGGCTCCTGCAGGTACAGAGTTAAAAACAATTTAAAAAAATAAATGAAATTTAATTAGAAAATTAAGGAGCTATTATCTTTGTAATGATACTAAAAATAAAGCAAGGCTTAAAAAATGGTTTCAGAGAAGACTCGATTAACTCACACCTAATTACCCACCAGCATATTTTGTCAAATTTATTGACATTTCTGCCAAATTTTTGCTGTTTTTTTTTAAATCCACCAAAATTTTTAAATCACACTGGAAGATTCCAGGTTTTTTTTTTTTTTTTTTTTTTTTTTTTTTTTTTTTTTTAAAAAACAAACAAACAACAAATGAGAGATTTTACATTTCCAAAAGTTATCATTTGTTGCCCATACATACTACATACATAACTGGTGTGTAAAGTCTTTAGAGAGCATGTCAGTATGTTACTCCGGATTAAGCAACATTTTCGCTTCTTAACACCCTATCCACTACTGATAGTCTAGTAATTGAGGTTCTGCTATAAATAATCCCTTCCGCATTTGTTGGATCAACTGATCAACAGAGGAATACCGCTTAATAGCAAGTTAGTGGAAATCGAGACCTTGGTAGGGGTGGACAAAGTGTCTAAACAAGCACCAAATTAATTGAAAAGTTATGGCATTTAAGTTTGAAAAGAGTATAAACAAAAACAGAGACAGTTTGGAAGAAGCAACATGAAAATTCCAAAAAAGAGTGTTTTTTTCCGTGAATAAGGTTATCTATCCTACTATTATACATTTTCCCCTCTTTTTTTTCCTGGTTTTGTTCGAATCGCAGGATATTACCTTGTTTTCAAGTTTGATTATTTTTCCAAATTCGAACTCTTTTAAAGTCCGAGTAGTTTGGATACACTTCTGTGGACACTCTTAAGAGCATTGAATTTTTAATTTTAAGTTTCTTTACTCGACATAAAAATGTTTAAATGATGAAGTTGAAAAAAATATTGTGATGTTCGATTTTATGTATGCATTGCCGAGGATTTCTCTTCGGAGTCAGAAAAAAATTTTGGTTGAGAAACTACCTGGAATGGAGGCTGAGCACAATAAGTGGGATGGACACACATTGAATGATTCTAAGATTTCAGCTGGATTGTTAGCGTCAAATATTGTCACCTTGCTGATAGAGTGTGTACTCGTACAGATCCAGACTAATGATGATAGAGGATTGTCCTTAACGCCACTTACTTTCGGAGGACTTTCCGCGTCCTAAAAAAACAAAACTAATTGAATGACAAAGCAAGATAATTTGATGAACAAAAAGAAGTACAGTTATTCAAATCTCTACTGATTTTATTAGTAATTTCCTCCCTCCACATCCTCAAATCTTAGAACCTCAATAGCTCAAATTTTTGTGATCCTTATTATCCTCAAGATGTTGAAGTCTAATTAAACCAATTAATTATATAAAAATGTAAGTCAACGTTGAGGACAGAAAAATTGACTGACTTGGGGTGAATGAAAAAGCAGTTATTTCATTCTACTGACCTTAAAATTATCGGAACGCGAGACAGAGGTTGAATCAGGTGAGCTTGGCTCATTCTCTGAAGGACTTGAAATACCATTGTTCATATCACGAACTATTGCACTTTTGAAACTCTTTAAATTTGTATCATTGATGAAATCAACACCGGTTGCACACCAGATCTGAAAAAGAGATCAGAAGAAAAATTAATATCAGGGACTAAGAATCTGTAGATAGTAGTAAATGGCAGTTATTATAAGTAATTTCAATGAATATAATGAGGAAAGATATGACAGCGGACAAAACCTGAGCTGGCCTGATGGGAAACAGATCAAGCGGTCAAAAGTATACTGATATCCAATAACATGGATAATCACATCAATCTAAATACACTTCAGCTTTTAGATCTGATTGAATGGATTCAATTCCTCATACGAAATTGACTAAGATCATCCCAAACGGCTAATTCAAATTCAGGGTCAGTGTTTTTACTACTTGCATAAAACACACCCATTCATAAAAACAGGAAAATGAAACTCTTGAATTAGAGAGAACGGGTGGAGAAAAGAGAATTAGCGAGAAGAGTTGGTTCATTTTCGAACACATTCGTTTCTGCTTTCACTCCGGATTTTCACCCTTAAAGTATAAGGACCAAGCAATATTAAAGCATAATATGAATCATGAATCCAAACTTTGGTCAATGAAAACACTTTCTCGTTTGGTTTTTACATCACAATACATACCTTATAAATTGAAAATGGTCTAAAATGCAGTCTCATACTCCTGTGCCTAACGAAGAAATTGCAACAGCATTGTTGAAATTCTATATTAGTATACATAAAAAGAATGACAAATATATTTGTGATCTACCATTCGAGATCGGTGCTCTTTACATGGTCCGAGGTCTAGGTCCCACCATGAGGGAGAATGCTAGTGTATTTTTCCTTCGGAAAATACACTAAAAGTAAATTGCAAAGAAATACCTTTCCTGTGAGAGCGATAGGATGACTTTATTGGGCTTTTCAGCTTTAGAAACTTTGAATTTAGTACCGAGTATGGGGCCTCACAGTCACAGCACTCATCAATAAGATCTGAATTTTCATTAAATTGTGACGATTACTTTTCAAAAGGAGAAATTTTTGCTCGAAGAGATTCAAACTCACTTTGACTCCTGGTTCTTTTTCTTCCAGTGGCCGACAGTAGACTGGGACAGGAACAGGTACTTGCGGGGGATTAGAGGATGTTGATGAGGGGGTGACTTGAGGGTTGACTGACTGTTTTGCCGGAAGACTCCATCCATAGACTTGCAACCGGCCGTCTTCCTTGGAAACGTGAGCACGAACCTGCCGGAATTGTTCCTTGCGTTCACTAGCACGTCTTGAAGCTGCTTTGTCACTGCACCTTGCATCAAAGGGATATGTTGCCATGAATATTTCGACAAAAGATTAGGAGGAAAGAAAGTTTCATTCAAAGCAATTAAAGCTCATTTTTAACATTGATTCTGAGTATGACCTCAGTTTTTCTGGATCACTTCGGATTTGTCCGGAAAAATAGGTATTTTCCCCCAAAAATCGGACTTTTCCGGGAAACATTCAATTTTCAAGACAACTAATACATGACAGAGAATTTAAAGCGCATTTTCAAATTCAGCAGCCAATACTTCCACGATATACCTGGTGCTCAAATCGTACTCATGGCATGAGCTAAAAATTGTATTTTTAACTTTTCAAAATTTCCATTCCTATTTTAATTATTATATAATTATTACAATGTTTTTAAAGGCATTACAACCTATTTCACTCGACATTTTTGTGGAATATTCTTCACTTTCAAAGGATAAAACATAGTAATTATCAAAAAATCGTAGAAATTGGTACTGGACTTGAAAAATTAAGTAGATAGTTACAAAAAAACACTAGTTCCTCAAATTGTTGGATGAGATTACTAGACTGTTGAAGTTTATATACCTTAAATGTATTTTCTGTCATGATCTCTCAGCTTAAATGAATGCTAAAGTACATTTTTCTGAATGATTGCATGTAAAGGAGGAGTTGCGTTTTGGGCCTTTTCCGGCCCCACCTGGATTTTGCTAAATGTTTCATATTTTCAAAGTACTAGTTTTAGGTAGACTCTGTGCCAAATATTAGACCGAACGGAGCCCATGCAAGGGCGCAGCAACGCCTCAAACCCAAAATCCTGGAATCGAAAAACAATTATTTTCGTCGACTTTTTCGACTGTTATCACTCTTCCAGCACATGATTCTTAAGTATTTTTTTGCGTACTTTTCGTTTCTGGCCTTTTTAAAGGCCTCCGATAAATTTTAAGGGGCCTTATGGCCCATTGTTGCCATTTTTGGCCCATTTTTAGGGGTTTTTTCCATTTAACACATTCAAAACTCAACTTAATCCAAAAACTGTGTACATTTTTGAAAATTACGTAAAAAAATGAATAAAAAATGTTCAGTAAAATTTTTTCCTATGTTGCCAAATTTCCGAGAAAATTGGTCCCAAAGTGTCGAAAACGGCAAAAAATCGATAAATCGCCGCGTCTAAGGTTCAAGAAAGTGGAGTACATTTTTCATACTGTACCAGATAACAGCTCTTATCCATCCATACAACATACTAAAATATCATAGTTGTACCTGGATTCCCACAATGTGAAAATTGACCGAGATGTCGATTTTAGCGGCCTTTTTATACTTGAAGGCAGCTCTTTTGAATGTTTTTCGACCTTAGTCACCCTCTATGGGTGTGTACTATATGTATTTTTCTACGTACTTTTCATATCTGGCCATAAAAATGGCTTCCTGTGAGTTTTAAAAGGCCTAACGGTCCATTGTTGCCAATTTTCACCAATTTTTAGGGGTTTTTTCAAGTTTACGTGTGTGAAACTTAATTTAATCTAGAAACCGTGTACAATTTCGGAAAGAACGTAAAAAAATACATAGAAATGTGATTTATACCTTTTCCCTACGTTGCCAAATTTTCGAGAAAAATCGTCCTGAAGCGTCAAAAATGCCAAAAATTGGATTAATCATCACGTCGGAGGTTCCAGGAAGTGAATTTCAAGTTTTTTCTCACTACATATAACGTATCGAAAATGGAAAATTGCAATGCATCTCAAGGAACATGTAATGGCGCAGATGAACGTGACAAAACGGGCCCTCAAGGTGCTTTTACTTTATCCTTCACTCCAGTTCACCTCTTTATTCCTGTAACCTCGAGATAATCCTTGGTTCTCAAGATGCTTGCTACAGGCCAAATATACCGAAGAACAGAAAATGCGTGGAGAAAGTGTCCCACGATCCACATGAATGTCATAATTCACTTCCTGGAACCTCCGACGTGATGATTAATCCAATTTTTGGCATTTTTGACGCTTCAGGACGATTTTTCTCGAAAATTTGGCAACGTAGGGAAAAGGTATAAATCACATTTCTATGTATTTTTTTACGTTCTTTCCGAAATTGTACACGGTTTCTAGATTAAATTAAGTTTCACACACGTAAACTTGAAAAAACCCCTAAAAATTGGTGAAAATTGGCAACAATGGACCGTTAGGCCTTTTAAAACTCACAGGAAGCCATTTTTATGGCCAGATATGAAAAGTACGTAGAAAAATACATATAGTACACACCCATAGAGGGTGACTAAGGTCGAAAAACATTCAAAAGAGCTGCCTTCAAGTATAAAAAGGCCGCTAAAATCGACATCTCGGTCAATTTTCACATTGTGGGAATCCAGGTACAACTATGATATTTTAGTATGTTGTATGGATGGATAAGAGCTGTTATCTGGTACAGTATGAAAAATGTACTCCACTTTCTTGAACCTTAGACGCGGCGATTTATCGATTTTTTGCCGTTTTCGACACTTTGGGACCAATTTTCTCGGAAATTTGGCAACATAGGAAAAAATTTTACTGAACATTTTTTATTCATTTTTTTACGTAATTTTCAAAAATGTACACAGTTTTTGGATTAAGTTGAGTTTTGAATGTGTTAAATGGAAAAAACCCCTAAAAATGGGCCAAAAATGGCAACAATGGGCCATAAGGCCCCTTAAAATTTATCGGAGGCCTTTAAAAAGGCCAGAAACGAAAAGTACGCAAAAAAATACTTAAGAATCATGTGCTGGAAGAGTGATAACAGTCGAAAAAGTCGACGAAAATAATTGTTTTTCGATTCCAGGATTTTGGGTTTGAGGCGTTGCTGCGCCCTTGCATGGGCTCCGTTCGGTCTAATATTTGGCACAGAGTCTACCTAAAACTAGTACTTTGAAAATATGAAACATTTAGCAAAATCCAGGTGGGGCCGGAAAAGGCCCAAAACGCAACTCCTCCTTTCATATGAATACTCTCAACAATGCTCTTTTGAGATCTACTTGGGTCTTAAATTCCTGTCATGCTGAGATCAGATGACCAATATGAAGGGGGTGTGCAGAGGTAAGGATTCACAGCGGATTTGGCCTTAATTAGGCCAAATCTGCAGTGTTCCATAAATTGGGCGGCGCAGTTTATCCGCCTTCACTAAACAAAGCAAAACGAGACATGTTTGATGATTTTTGATGGATTAGGTTTTCATACTTAGAGCAACTCCAAGAGTGTGTTGCTTCAAACCAAAGTAATCATAAGACATCATTCATACTTAGAGCAACTCCAAGAGTGTGTTGCTTCAAACCAAAGTAATCATAAGACATCAGATTGTTTCAAAAACAAAAATTTGAGTGTGAGGGAACTAAGCATCTTTAGGAAGATAAAAACCTACAAAGAAGCATGCACTGTGAGGTATTTTGTCAGAGGATAGTATTCGTTCAGCCCTCTTTCCACTGAGTCAGAAAATGAGATGAAAGTTAACCACTTCCAAAATGACGGATGGCTGGCATGAACAGTGAGCATCCGAAATGGATGTAAGACATCATGTATCAGAGGTTTAGTTGAGTGCGATTCTAGCAATAGTGTGTTTTATGGATAGTTGTAATTTGAGACCTAACATTGTCATTCAGTGCTTTTACCAACAAATGTGTCAAAATTAGCAGTACTTCAGATCTTTAAATCTTCAGTTTGTTAAATTAGTTTGAAAGTGAAGAGTTGCACTTTACAGCTAGTGAGATAAAATTACAGTTCTTACGACCTCAACTTAAAATTGATGGCAAGGTTAAGGGTTTGGATCATGGCTTCAAGACTGCTTTTAGACGTTTAGTCTTCTACAAAAAAAAAACGACTCTTCCCATCTAGTCAAATTTAAAATGATAGCATAGAATTGACCCTTATGACAGTAAAAACCACACAGATAAGGCTCCCAACTGTCCATTATTTTTCTCATTTTCCAGAATTTTGCAAATAGGTGGACATTGAGGAGAAAATCCCAAAACCTTTGGGACCATCAATCTGAATCATTGTAACATGTAAAAAGAAACGCAAGTTAAGATATTACACAGAATTGCAAAATTTTTGGAGGAACAGTTTGCACGCATCATTATAATGGTGGAAACACGGTCAAAAAAGGTGTGATGCACAAAAATATGATGAGATGGCTGAAAAAATATTTATCAGAACACCTTTCACTGCAGCAATTTTGAAAGATAATCGAAATAGAAATCTTTTACAGGAACCATGGTGCACATTCTAAGAGTAACAGCCTGGCATTGAATGTTTGCACAAACATCATTCAACATTCCCACTTATCAACATGGTACCAGCAACTTTTGTGCTTATGCAATGTTCAAACTCTTCCGTTACTTGTACCACAATGGTTTCAGATATGCCTCGGACACTCCGGCTCTCTGAATGTGAGGATAAATAAACAAGGGACAAGTAAAAATGAAAGAAAAATCTCATTTATACACATCATGCTACTTTAGTATTCCGCACACCAAAGCATTTTACAAGATGACGCAATTCTTTGAATTGCAATTCAAATGAGTTTTGTTATGAGCTCTCCGTATCTTTTACCATTCAAGAAAACCATCACCACAGCCACCATCAATTCAGTAATTCGGTTTTTGGACTGATTGCTCTTTTTTGTCTGAATGTTAATAACAATTAGCCAATGAAAGTTAATAGTGGGATAAATGCAACTGACGTTACCACAAAAAGAAATCGACACTCATTGCAAATACATATCAATATTGAAACAAACAAACACTAATATTGGTTATCATTGCTGCAAAGAGCCTCTCTTGCTACTGTGCTAGTGTGAATTCCTTCACTTTTTGGACACTCTCATTCTAATTAATGTACCATTTGAATTCAGCAAAGCACACGTCAGAAAGTTGGTACAACAAAGATTTGAATCAGAGACGGACAGGCAAGTAGGATCAGCGGAAAAAATCCTGGTGGCCACTTGATACTAAGGCCAATGTTGAGCCAGTTTGTCTCCTTCCCACGGCAAAAAAGCAACTGATATGGGCCGGTCGAAAGATTGAAGGGCAAATATTCCTGGTTACTTTTTCTGACCCAGTCCGTCCATGACTTTAGTAAAGTAAAACACTGAGCAAAACTTCTAGTCTCTCTCTTTCTCTCCCTTTACCACCTCCAGAAACTACACATTTTGGAGACTTTACTCGAGGACTATAATCAGCTACAGGTAATTGGCATGAAAAAACACGTAATGAGGGTAGTATTCTGTTAAATATGAGTATTCCTTTTTCGATTACTTAATTTTCAAGAGAGCAGGCACAACATTCTTTTCTTTCCTTTGGTTCCACTCAAACTGATTAAAAAAGTTATTTGGATGCATTTGGTAATACTTCTTACACACCTGTGCTTGGTTTCGATTCAAGGTGAGTTAATCAATTTAGGATCCAAATAAATATGAGAGAGTTAAAAGAGTAAAAATAAAAGCAATGGTCTGACCCGGGGTTTAGCCGCGAAAGACCATAGGTAATTTTGCTTACCACCCTAGAGGTAATCCCATGTCAGCAAAGATCTTTTCCTGATTTAAACCTCATCAACACTTGTGTTTTCTGTCATTTCAATAGCGTCCCTGAATATCAAAAAAGTCTGTCAATTCGTCTAACTAATTAGAGGAATAAGAATATAGACAAATTGATGTGAAATAAAACAAAAAGAAAATAGTCTGAACAGAAAGTAAAATTTCAATATGGAACAAAAGACCAATGAGGTATTTAGGGAATGAAAATAAATACACTTCAGTATGAATAAAAAAAAGCTAGTGATAGAAATATGGGGGAATTGCAGCTGAAGAGGGGCCACAAAGTGTTAGAATGCTTTTAATTTCTTGTTTTTATTTGTATCAAACAATACATTATTATTGCATTTACACTGAATTCATTTATTCTGACAAAAACTCAACGAAAGTCAACAGAGGCGACATATGAGTTATGAAATCTAAAAACTTTGAGCAAACAGTGAGATACTCAAAACTTCTTAATAGAGTAAAAATTGAAGACTCTTTCTGCAGAAGGATGTTTCATGAAAATCGTCGTAGTTTTGAGAAAAACTCATTCTTCATAAAAGAAAGCATTTGCTTTCGTGAATAGTGGACCTGATCCTCACTCATAATGCTGTTCTGGCATATAAAACTTTAGAGAATAAGTGTGCCAAATTGCAGGAGAAACTCACTTACAAAAGCATGTTGAGCATACTTTTACCCATAGTTTATTTATTTATTCGGAAATCTAACTGTTTCTCGTTATTTTCATTGTTCTCTCTAAAATTGACAGCACGAAAAACGGTAATAATGTAAAAAATCTGTCTAATTCTTTACTTTATTGAAAAAATAGCCATTAGTAGAGCCATTGTGATCTGGTATTCCTCATAGTATTTCTTCAGTATTTTGCTGTTTTTCGAGTTCCTACAAGAGTTGGCGATATTGAATTTAACCATATATTCTCGACTAAAATTTTACAAGAAACACAAATATGTCATTGGTTTCGTCTGAAGTAAACTCCTGAACTCTTGCTTACAATTTGAAGCTATAGTGCATGACCTCTTGCCCACGTTGACGCGTCTCTTGTGGCCGCACCATTGAAAAATTTTGAGACATCCGACGACAAAAAATGCCTAAAAATCAAAATTGAGGCGCTTGTATCACTGATTACAGCTTAGGGTTTGAGGATAAACGAAAACTCCGACAAATGTCAAAACAAACCAAAATTATGAAGCTGTGGAGTCAACCATTCAAGAATAGTGATTATGAGGAAACACCATTTAAAATTTCAATCTGCAATATTCTAGGCTATGCACATACCAACCTTGCACGCTTGAATGAATAGAGCGAAAAAAAGTATTATGTAAAAATGGTAAATGTTTCTTGACAGAAAAACTGACACTGCCTCCTGCCACTTTCCTTCATAAATACGCTGCAAAATCATTGACTCTGCTTCATATTATGGGCTATATTTCACTTATTTGTCTGCATATTTTTAAAATCTTCGGAGCAACGATTTGAAGAATACTGTCTAATCTGTATTGGCATGAAAAAGGTCCGTGCTAAGAACATGCCTCCTTGCCGAAAAAGTCTTCAATTAATAAGAAAAATGGGAACAGCATTGTAAAAGAGCAAAAGCAATAAAAAACTATTTATTTCAACCAGGATATTTTTACTTTATAAGAAGGGTATTTAAGGAAAAATGTTGGCAAGAACATTAAAAGCATCTAAACACAATCACCAAAGGTCAACAACAAGTTTTTTTTTAAAGTTAAATTCGTATGGACTGAATAAAATAAAAGAATTAGACCATTTATAAAACTTGGAAAAATGACTTAAAAAATGTTGAATGTTACAGCAAGGAGGCTCATGATAGCCGATGAAATCCATAATTTCAGAGAGAAACTTGATTATTGGATACCAAATATGTTTCATTTTTGCTTGGAGCTGTCCACACATTATGTAATGCTTCGGTGAGGGGG